AGTCGTGAGAACTACTTGATGGGAGTGTGGGATGAGGGGAACACTAAGGCCCGGAGACAACTACGCATTGCTCGAGGAACTTCTGCCTGTCAGTCCCTGCTCTTGTCATCTGGTACACAGTTAGACCTCACCCACCCTAAGGTGAAGACACTGAGTCCTCAGCGATTCCCTTATTTGCTGGGTTTGCACTACTTTTGCTTATTTGAACTTTCCATCTAAAATACCCTGAATATAACATGATCATCCTGTGGCTTGAATATATCGAGGCAGCAGAGTGCTAGTCTTAAAAATTGTTGTGTTGTAAAAGCCACAGCATTGCAAGAAAGTTTTCCTGTTGCATAGATCCGTTTTTGTTGTTGTTGTTGTTATTGTTGTTTTCTTATCACATAACACCAAGGCATTTTAGCAATGTTTCTGGAAATGGAAGAAAAGACAATTTTCTCAACTGACACAATCGAACAGCATCATATAATTACAATGGACTTTGGGGATTTTTTGCACTTATTTACAGGTGTACATATGTGCACATGAGCATACATACCATAGACAGTCTCCCTTTCTTTTGAATATCCAATGAGTGATTTTGCTGTTAGCAACACTGGTCTTCCTGCAGACCTTGCTGTGCCCTTCTCCAAGCATTTGTGGCAAGAAATCATCCAAAGCAGTTACCAAGAAACAAAGCGGAACACTCTGTAGTAAACCCTTTTTCAGCCAGTGTGGATAGAAAGCTCATGGGTTCTGATCAACGCAGCATTTTATTTCATAGAGAGTTGCTCAGTTTATTTGTGGATTTTCAAAAAGTAGATCACAAATAAGATGCATTTGATGAGAACCCTGTTAAACATAATTCAGTCTTTCTCAAGATGATTCAGAGGAATTTCAGGATCCCACGCTGCTTCTGAATCATCTGGGAACATCTGTCGTCTTTGTACTGTAGAATATGGGTGGACTGGTTAATATTGGCATCTGCTGAATTTTCACAGAAGGAACACATGGGTCGTTATGCTTTTATTACAGTCCAGTGGCTGGTTAGGTATGTGTTTTACTAGCCAACAGCATTTCATATAGGTTTAAATCTGGTGTGTGGAAAATCAGAAATGTTAACATTTTTACTTCAACCAGAACATAGAGCAAAGCTTGTAGTATCATTTAGATAGGATCCTGTATACTTATCTTTTTGGACAAATTTTGCTTATGGTAAAATTAGCACTCTCCTGCATTACTGGTGTTATAGACCTTTTGGAGAGCATACTAAAAGCCTGTAAAACAAACATACTTTTATTTAACTCAGAAATTCTAATCTCTGAGAAATTTTCTTAAGTAAATAATTGCACAAATGGTAAAAATGTATCAATATTGATATCCTTTGCAGCATCATTTATAAGAACATATAATGTTAAAAAAAATAAATAAGAACATAATGTTGAAAAAAATCTTAAATATCAAGCAGTAGAAAAAATGATCAAATAGATTATAGTACATCCATATAATTATATTTGGGTGGATTTATAAAATTTTATTATGTATATGTTATTTATACATAAGATGTATAACATATACACATAATATACACATATATAAAATACTGTTTCTGTTGACAAACTATTAATGTGTTAAAATTAGTCATAAATAAGGTAAATTAAAGAAACTTTATGAAATCATATGTGCAAGTGATCCCACTTTATAAAAAAATGTAAATATGTACAATAGGAAAATATTTTATAGAATATATCAAATGAGTACCATGTTTGTACCTGGGTGGTATGATCTTAGGAAGATGATTTTTACTTTTGCCTTTATACATTTTGTATTATCTTGTTTTTAAAGTAATAATTCTATGCTACTTTTAGAATAAAACAAATTGAGTTTTTCCAATGTTGAATGAAGAAAAAAAATAAAAAGAGAATCTGTGATGAAGTATGAAATACAGGTTGTTTTGGAGCATGCCTAAAAGCTAAGGAGTTACAATTTGCTTTGCATGCTGAGGGCTAATGTAGGGAGTCTCACAGTTGAAGGATTTCCACACCTAGCAAGTTATTTGGTACAGACACAATTTCACTTATAAGTATAAAGTCAACTGATAGGTTCTCGAGTCAGCAACCAGGCATTTTATAATTGAAAAATAACATGAAATCATTTTGACTCTTTTTGCTGCTGTCGTTCTTAATTTTGTAAACAATTTTGACTTTTTCCTTTTTTAGTAGTAGTAAAAGATCCCTTCAAACCTAGCTCTGATGACTGTAGAAAAGGGCCTACCAATGGAGAATGGGTGTCCATAAGTTTTAAGCTTCAAAATGTGAAGAATTAGAAGAGACAGCGGGGATGATTGGATTGTTCAGGTCACTCCACCCATGAGAAATCCAAGAGGAGAAAAGGTGGCAAATCTAGTTCGTGTCAGAGCTAAAAGCCAACAACATCCAGCCATGAAGGTCACCGAGTATGTAGAAGGAGAAAAATGGCAACATCTCAGATTTTTCCAATATAGTGGGAAATGGGGGTTTAAAGCTAGATTTCATTAGGAAAGGGAGGACATTTGCTTTTAGCATAGGATATCTCACATGGAGCTCTTGCTTGTCTTGGAAGAGGAAGGTCCCTGTAATAGCCATGGTCTCATGACTGCTCCAGAGATGAAAAAGAGCAAATTAAGACTTTCTGTTTGATTAGTTTGGGAAGCAGTCATGAAGGACTCATTCTCCCTGCTGTGGTTAAAGCTGTCTAGGGAGAAATAAGCCAAGGGAATATCAGACCAAAAATCTGAAGGTTGAAGCCAAACCACTGGGAAGGGCTTTCGACTGCAAACTACAATGTGATTGAACTAGAAAGGAACATTCGACTCATGTCATGTTGATACCTCAAACTCAACAAGTCTGAAATTGAACTCATCTTTCCTCCAAAGCAGCTCCTTAACTGACCTTTTCTAACAACAACAACAAAAAAAATACTGCACTTTAGAATGCTTTGTCATAGCATATCCATTATTTCATGTAATTGCCACACGCCTACAGACAAGGAAATTTAGCTCAGGTTAATCAAAGGCCTGCAAGTACCTAAGAGATCAATTCTGAAAACCAAGTTTTCTGAATCCTAATCTAGTCACCCATTGACTTTACCACACTGCCCCTTCTCTTCATATTTGTGGAAAATTACCAGTTAGTTTTATAGAATTAGTAAGTGACACTTTATTTATATTGGCATTTGAGCATTGCACACTAGCAGATTTTAGTAAGTATGAAGTCAGATTTTCTAAAGTAGCAAGGAGCAAACCAACCAGCCCTTGAATCGCTAATCTTGTTTTTCATAAGATACCTAGATGAAAAAAAGTCAGAAGATAATACAGATAAAATGAGGTACTAGAATTGGCCCAAAATGACCAGTTTGTAAATTTAACATGAGCAAATCATCATCGTTCACATTAGATAACTGATTGCTGATACAAATTGTATGCTTCCAATATCATTTTTTTTTTAATTTAAAAAGTATTTGGGTTTTATAGTTTTAAGAATCTTGAGTGTGTTCTAGAAGCTGCCATGGAACATTGCACCTGTTGTTAACAATATTGTATTATACACTTAAACATTTATTAAGAAAGTAGATCTCATGTTAAGTATTTTTACCATGATTAAAAAAAATAATTTCTAACATGAAACATGTATGTATTTGGATTTCTTTTTGTAGATATGTAAGTAACAAAAAACAAAACAAAACAAAAACACTATAACTTTCCACAGTAAAAAGCAGCCCTCTATAATTCAGCCTCATCCACATCCCCCATCAATCCACCAGGCCCTGGGCGGGGCAGCACTCCCCTGGTCTTCTGGAGCTCTGTATCTCAGTGTACATTACACCTTCAGAAGAAGCCAAGTTAACCATCCAGGCCATTTCCTCTTGACTTTGGGCATCTGTAGTTGCACAGCCTCAATTCTTCGCTTGGAAATAAATATGAGAGGATATATACCTAGCGCAGTGATACTGATTGTAATTTCTCCAAATAGGCATTTGCTTCCAGTGAAACTGTAACTAAGTAACATACACAAGTGGGGAGTCTCCTGTGGGTTTTCAACCTGCCTCACCTCTTAGGCTTCTGTCTAAATATACACTTGTGGGCCACTATGAGGTAGAAGACACTGCTGCAGCATGGTTCAGAGCATAGGAGGGTCCTTAGAGCCACCTCTTCAAAATGCACTGACTTTGAAGCTTCCGAACGCTAATCAATAATACCTCCCCTCTTCAGTAAAAAGAACCTGAAAGGAAAAACAAAATCTAACCAAAAGACCCCTGATTTCAATTCTCTTGAGCAATTTTGGCTTATTATACCAAAGTCTTGGTTTGCTAATGTAACTTGATTCTTTTCTTATCTTGGTGACAGTGCCTATACAAGTATTTCACACAATATACTGAATCCTTTTTAATAGGTCTTTGATTATTTTTGGTTCAATACTTTGGATTTCTGCTTCTAAATTTCATGTGTGATAACTGGCTTAAATCAAGAAATCAAAATATGCTAACCCAACAGTCTCCAAAGGCAGTCTACTTTTACATAGATTTTTTTTAGGTTACCTGATCATTGTAGATTATCCTCTGTAGTTTTTGTATAATGCTTTTCAAGTTTGAAAACTAACTGGGTGCAGTGGTGCATGCCTGTAACCCCAATGGTTCAGGAGGCTGAGGCAAGAGGATCACAAATTCAAAGCCAGCCTCAGCAAAACCAAGGTTCTAAGCAAATCAGTAAGACCCTATCTCTACATAAAACAAAAAATAGGGCTGAGGTTATGGCTTAGTGGTTGAATGCCCCTGAGTTTAATCCCCAGTACACCCCCCACCCCCCAAAAAAAAATTATTGAAAACTAGTCAGTTGGTCCTCCAAGTTTAGGAACAGAACCATCCTGTAAGAACCCTGTGCTGAGGTTCCGCAAAGGGACCAGGGCTGTTCCTGCTAAGAAGTGGATGAACACATTTTTGCAGCTGGCCTTGCTCAAGAGCTTGTCTTTGTGATGTTCCAGAATTGCCTATCAGAGGAACGACGATGACGAAGAAGAGGCAGCGAGGGAACGTCGCCGGCGAGCGCGACAGGAAAGGCTGCGGCAGAAGCAAGAGGAAGAATCCTTGGGACAGGTGACCGACCAGGTGGAGGTTCACGCCCAGAACAGGTACTGCCCTCTTTGGAATGGAGAATTTCTCTTTGCATCTTAGTCTGTTTGTTGAACTAAAATGACCTGAGAAAGGAAAGCAAGGCATTCCTTTCTCAGCCCAGCTCAACCCTTTTTCAATCTCTCTTGATTTGGCCAAAGATCAGGTTGGACAGTCAGTCTGATTTAGACATTAGGACACCTTCATTCCCTACACACACACACACACACACACACACACACACACACACATCATTCCCATCCCTAAACGTACCCCCAGTGAAGGCTTTTATTTTGTTTCATAATCTGGTATTTTAAAAATTTACTAAATACAATGGATTATACTTTTAAATAAGAAAAATGCTTTATATTCCTTTGTAGCATATTGCTATCTGTTTTGAACTGAAGATTAACTAGTTTTAATATAGACTATGTGCCTCCCAATAATAGATGTCTCTTGAATTTTAAAAGTAGGTATGAATTGCAGATGTCTTCCTTTTCTTAGCATAAAGCCCAAGTCAATATTTTCTGTAGTATTTGGAGAGGTGATTAATTTATTGTGACTGTTTAAACATGTTTAATAAGTTTACTATTTAGAATTTTTTTCCTATTCAGGCCCTGGTAGAAATTAGAGTTGAAAATACCTAATAGCTTCAACTTCTTCAAACAGGGCTTTTATGAAGCTGGGGTTGGGGCTCAGTGGTAAGAGCCCTTGCCTAGCACATGTGAGACACTGGGTTTGAGCCTCAGGACCACATAAAAATAAATAAATAAAATAAAGATACTGTGTCTATCTACAAATAAAAAAAAATTAAAAATAGGGCTTTTATAACAGAAATAGGATCACATGGTTCATTATGTTAATGGTTATTATATGTCATTTATTTGCACCAAGGTCTAGAAAATATAAAGGATATTTGGAGAAAAAATAATTTTAATTTAAAACTGGGGACTGCTTAAATAAATGAAACCATATTATAAGGTCTTGCATGTGGTTTTTTTTTGCATGCATGTTTTATTTTGTCCATGTTTAGAGAGAGCTGTTGATAGTTCCTTTAATTCAGCCTATTCAGACGATTATGAAGGGAAAGGGTCATGACTTCTGGGGCTTAAATTCGAGTAGTTTCATCAGATTTCTAAGGTTGTTTTGCAAATGCTCGTAGGTGGAGTCAATTCAACAAGGAAACTTATTGGCAAGGTAGAAAAGTAGAAACCTTGACCCTTGGTGAGCAACTCCAATGTAATTAGGGAGGAAGTCCAGCAAAGGGGACACAGGTATGATGTCCAGGGCTCACTAACTGCTTTTGAATCCCAAATAGATGCTTTGCAAACTGTTCTTCACCTGAATAGAAATAGAAATAGAAATAGAAGATATACCTTTCCCCTAAGAATAATGTTAAACTTTTTTTTTCAGTATTGGGGATTGAACTCAGGGGTGCTCTACTTCTGAGTCACGTCCCCAGCTCTTTTTATTTTTATTTTGAGACAATTTCTCACTAAAATGCTGAGGCTGGCCTTCAACTTGTGACCGTCCTGTCTCAGCCTCCTGGGTAGCTGTTATTACAGGGACCACCATGCCTAGTCTTTGTTTCTTTCTTTTTTAAAGGGAAAGCATATTCAGGTCTGAGAATATGTGACTTATCTCTAACATATTCATTAACCTCAAGAAAAATAAGTCTTCTTGGAAATAAATGGCTCTGTCACTTGACATCTACTGATGATCACTGTCATGACTTGTACAAAGACAAAGATAAGTTTTAACAGTCTGTTGGTTTCTTAACTTCTTATTTTCATCTGGTTAACATTTTGGAATTTGGGGTAGCTTCTTAAATTATTAGAATTCAGTTGATTCAAATGCCTTATATTAGGTGTTTCCCCATAAGTTCTGAATTCTTTGTATTTCCTTATATATCTAATTCATGTGGACATTGTCCTGCAGCAACAGCAAAGGCCAAGAAAGTTTGAAATGTAGGGTTTACTCTGCCATATTTTGTTGTTAAATATGAAATATGTTTTTCCAAAATTAAGTGAACTTGAACATCAAAAGGGCCAAGTTTCCTATGAACCATGAAATTTGATGGAGTTTCTAAACATTGTAAGGCATTTGCTTCCAACTCTGGTCACAGTTCTGGTATCACATGACTGATTGTCTCCTGCCAGTGGAGACCAACACCCTTGGATTGGGCAGTAACCAGCATGTTCCAAGAGTGAGTGAACGTTGTACAGTTTGGGTTTTAGAGATTTTTCCTTTAAAAAAAAACACAAAAAAAACTTAACTATAACTGCCTTTTATTCACTGTAGAGAAGAAGGACAAGAAACCCTTTTTTCTTGGAAATCTTATCAAAGAAGGTAGATAGTCTATATGTTAGTCGGGGTAATGCTGCTGCTATGACAATGAGCCCCCACATTTTAGAAGTTTAATACAATACATAAGTCCAGTTTGGGTATTTCTGTCCAGTAGGCAGAACTGGTCACCATCTTCCTTCCTTTTATGACTCTGTCAATCCCTAGGGATTTGGAGTCTTCTGACCAGCCAGCAGTCAGAGATAGAAAGGACAGAGAATGAACCTTGCTTCTTTCTTAATTGCTTTAGTTTGAACATATCACTTTTGCTCATATTTCATTGGCAACTATGGGACACATGGGCCTGCCTAGGCACAAGAGGAGAGAGTAAGAAATCCAAACCTTGATTGGCAATCACCCAAAGCACTTTTAGCATGGTGAGTAGACACCACTGACCTGAGCAAAGAATTACACATGTTGTCAGTTGAAAATCAGGCAGGTGTGTATGTACTGAAGTGGTGACATCCAGGGGCATACGACACGGTACTACTTACCTCTGCTCTAATCCTGGGGGGCACTGGCTATATGAATGCAGCTCACAGATTAATCAGAGCAAGTTGCCTTTGGTGTTGTTCTCTCTGTTGTACAGTGTCCCCGACGAGGAGTCCAAGCCAACCACCGCCAACACTCAGGTGGAGGGCGATGATGAGGCTGCCCTCCTGGAGCGTCTGGCCCGGAGAGAAGAGAGACGCCAGAAACGCCTTCAGGAAGCCCTGGAGCGGCAGAAGGAGTTCGACCCAACCATAGCAGATGCCAGCCTGTCCCTCCCCAGCGGAAGAATGCAAAATGACACCGCTGAAAACGAGACTGCGGACAAGGAAGGAAAAAGAGAAAGTCGCCAAGAGAGATACGAGATAGAGGAGACGGAAATAGTCACCAAGTCCTACCAGAAGAATGACTGGAGGGATGCCGAGGACAAGAAGAAAGACGAAAAGGAAAAGGAGGAGGAGGAGGAAGAGAAGCCAAAGCAAGGGAGCGGTGGAGAAAATCAGGTAGAGGCGCGGGTGGAAGAGAGCACGGCAGAGACCCAGGAGGAGACGGTGGTAACGGCCCTGAAAAACGGGGACCTGGATGCAGAAGAGTCTAAAGTGGAGGAGAGGGAAGGAGGCTCAGAGGAGGCTTCTCATAATGAAAAGATGGAAGAGGAAGAAAGGCAAAGAGCCGAGGCAGAGAGGCTGAGGGTGGAAGCAGAAGAAAGAGAAAGAATTAAAGCCGAGCAAGAAAGACAGATAGCGGAGGAGCAAGCAAGAATAGCAGCAGAAGAAAGAGAGAGGAGGGAGGCGGAGGAGAGGGAGAGGGTAAAGGAGGAGGCGAGAAGGGCGGCCGAGGAGAGGCAGAGGGCCCAGGCAGAGGAGGAGGCGAAGGCTAGGATAGAAGAGCAAAAGCGAAAAAAGCAGCTAGAGGAGAAGAGGAATGAACTGCAAGAGACAAAGATGAGAGGGGAGAAAGCAGAAGAGAAAAGAGAAGGGAAGAGGGTCAATGAAAAGAAAGTGCCCGAAGATAAACCTCAGACAGCTGTCCTAAAGAAACAGGTACAGTGAGCATTTTGCACCCGGTGTGTGATGCCTGTGACTTACGAGAAATGTAATGCACATCAAATTTGGGACTGAGGCCACACGCACACACAGCCCCACGTGCTCAATCAGTTGGCAAGCTAGTCATTTTTTTTTTCAGGTCATAGCAATGCACAAGCATGAAGCAAATGATTGCAAGCTAAATGTGCAGTCCTTGGGACAGTCAGAGAGAAATCAATTGCTCTGTGCTTGGTTGTTATGAATACCGAAAAAAAAAAAAAAAATGAAGGAACCCAAGGATGATGAATGTGGTGGTGCTGTGTTGACTGCTGTTTCAGCACCTGCATCTGAACTCATTCCTTTTGAATCTTTCCTATATTGGTAGGTCTACATGAGGCAAGAGACCCCAAACTCCTCATCTCACATGTAGTTTCGATATTAAATGATTATAAACTTAAGGGTGGGGAATTCACATGAAGCATTATGGTCAGACATTTCATCCTAAGAAGGCAAACATAAAGCCTAAGGGAGCCATTTGGAACCTTTTGTGGGAAAAAAAAAATACACCTCAAAACTCTGATTTGCCATCATGTAGACCTGAGCTTAATGTGAGCTTGCAGAAAGCAAGGTAGTATCCGTAACTGGTGGGAAATTAAGAGCACACATTTTGCTCCTTTGACCTTCTAGGTGACACGAATTCATGTGAACCTGAGGAAGGATGGGAATAATGGAGGTGGGAAGAATGTTTGTAAACTGCAAAAACTTTTTGCTTTCTGCAAGGCTGCATTCAAATACTGTCCCTAAGCACCACCACTGTTCCCCAAACCACAGGGAAAAAAGAGATGCTTGCATGTGCACCTTTCCAGAGCGACCTCTCTGTCACCAACTCCGCACTGCCTGCAGTTGTCTTTTCACTCCTGCTTCTCTACAAGGGGCTCATGCACATGGCTATAATTGAGAAGATCATAAACCAAGCGCACCCAGCCACACACACAAGGTTTGTAAACACACACGAGGAGAGCACCATGTCACGGCAGATTCCAGTGAGCACAATTAGAAGGCACACAAGAGAAATTGAGTGGGAAGAAAGTATCCCACATTGCTATATAGAATCACTGACACCAAGGGGTGTAAGTACCCACTAAGCAGCCAAGGAAGCTGTCCCACAGCACCTGCTGAGTGATGTGTGCACCCTCTCACCCTTGCAAGCTAGAAAGGGGCTTCTTTTACACGAGTGACCTTAACCATTCTTAAAAATGAAAAGGAAGAAGAAAAGGGAACAAAAGGGCAAGCTCAAAGGCAAAAGTCCCAAGAAGACAAGCCTACCTTCAAAAAAGGAGAGGTAAATATTATTGAGAAATGATCTGCTCATAATGCAACAGAGAGCAGTGTTCCAGGGTCTCTCAGTTCCCATGATTCTCAGGATTCTAACCTCTAACCTGGTGTTTTTCAAGCCACAGCTCGTGATCCATGAGATCAGCTTAGAACATCTCAAAATTAGTTAATCAGCATTTTAAAAAACGAAAAGGATAGAAGGTATCAGAAGGCATCATGGGTAGTAAGTATTGCATTGTTTTAGAAATTGTCTTTCTTACTGTGGGTCATAGCCAAAAAGGCTTGGAAAACACTGCCTCAATCAGTCTTTCCTGCTTTCTACCCTTCTAAGTGCTAATTTTTCCCCCTTGATCCATTCTACTTGCATTTCAATCATGAGATATTCCCAACTCGCCTTGATTAATGCTTTGACTTTTCCAAGGGAAAACACCTCCCCACACACATCTCAGTAGAAAATTTGGTGAACTGAGGATGGTAATTTTGTTTTCAAAAGAAAAGTTTGGCAAAATGTTCTGCATTGCATTTCTGAGGCACACACCAGAGCAGGTGCTGGGTGTCGGTCGGAAGGTAGGTAAGTAACGAGCCTGAGGCAGACAGAATGTCACAGGGCCCATCAATCAGGATGGAAAGCCTGACCTCATTTTAACCACTGAGCTTAGGTTAGACCCAAATAACCCTATAAACTGTGACTATAAGTAATAGTTAAAAATACTTGAATGGGGTAAAACTGAATCATTCAAGGCAGAAAGAACCGAATGGCTTTGTCCGTGAGACTGATAAAGTGATTTGTAGCCATTGAGTGCCAACCCAAGTGTTCTCTCACTCCTTTCTCTACCTGTTATGGAATCTGTTAAGAAAACTCAAACAGAAGGGAAATTCAAATTAAGAAAATAGGTGACCAGAATAAATAAATAGGGGATGGGTTATTAAATACGTTTTGTAAGATTCATATAAAATGTAAGAGTCCTTAGTTGATATCACATATTATATTTACTTGAAGATCTACGTTCCCCTGTGTTTCTAACAGATGTTGTGATGGTTTGCAGGAGTGAACACTGAACCTGAGCTCTGCCCATCTAAAGGAAGGAGAGACTGTAATTGCTAATAGGGAAACTGAATTTAGCTCTAAAAAGGCAGCTCAGAAAGCAGTTTAACATGAAGGGAAAAGATTTCTCATTTAGTGACAACACCTACAAATTCATCTACAAAAAACAAAACAAAACAAAACAAAAACCTCAGCAATAAACTCAAATAGAAATGTCCCACAGGGGATCTTCTGCAGAGCTGGAGTTTTGTGGTAAATACTTTTAACTCACAGAAGCAAGCGGGTCTGAGTCATTAACCTGTTAATTGACTCAACACAAAGGGGGAAGGGAGGTGCAGAAACCACCATTGGGATCCTATATGTAAAGTTTGAATTCAGTGCACCATGATGTGATTTGTTTTTAATGACCAAATCATTCTGGGCCTACATAGGATGTCCCTGAGCTAGAAAAGGCTCATCAGAGGTGAATAAAATCATCTTTTTCTGTCCTTCCTATAAGGTCCCAGTTCGGCAATGTCTGCAGTATCAGTAAGATACTCCAGGGAATAGTTTCAGGCCGCCTCTTTCCCAGTCTTCCCCACAGCACATTCCAGTGTCTTGAAGCTTTGGCTTCTTTTTTGTATAAAGTCAGATAAGCTCCTCAACCCAGCTTTTTAAAAACAACAACAACAACAACAATTGTACTCATGTTTTAACACTATAAAGAGAAACTGCTGGTTAAGTGACAGGTTTTTCCTTTCTAGCTCATTTTGTAGCTGTTTTACAGAGGCGACTTGAAATTATTTTACCTGATCCAGCCATTGAAATAATCTCTTCCTATTCCTTTTTTTTTTTTTGTGTGGTGCTGGGGATTGAATCCAGAGCCTTGTGCATGGGAGGCAAGCATCTACCAAATGAGCTATGTCCCCAGCCCCTATTCTTTTTAATTAAAAAAAAAAAATCACACAAAGACAAGCTGAACCCTTTGGTGACAGGCATCTAGGTGGCCTACACAGGATGGATCAGCCACAAGTAAACACAAACATCACAGGAGCGTTCCCAGCGAAGACATTTCCAGAAGTCACTCCAGTGCCCTACAAAACAAAGCAAACAACAAAAACCCCTGTCTGCCTCCGCTGCAGTTTAACTCTGCTTGTGGTGGCAGTGGGGTGCAGATGATGGACAACCCTACAACTTGATGTAGCTCTTTCTCTCCAATTACAAGGAGCTAATTCCTCACTAATGAGCTAGTTGTTTCTGGGCTCCAACCTAGAAACAAAGTTTCTAGCAGTAGCAGACATCCAAACATCAGGGCCCACACTTCCCAGTGTGCAGACAGATCCATCACCCAGGAATCTTGTTAAATGCAGAATCAATTTAGGGGCTCTGGGGTGGAGTCTAAGCTCCCTGGAGGGACCATGTTGTCTTTGGACCAAACTTGCAGTAACTAGGAGTCCAGAGGACATCCATAGGATAGAAAAGGTCTTGGTGCTTCTAAAACTAACAAAAACATATTAAACCTGAACTGAAAAATTCTAACTTGCCTTCAGCTCTTGGGGCTACTCTGATATCAAATCATTCAAAGCAATATGTTATAATCCTTTTCTGCTTGCTCCTTGGATCTTTTGAGTATCTCTCTGGCACAAGAGCATGCCACTCAAATTCCCCAACCCTGCACACCCATGTTTTATCCCACTGGTTGGATATCCCAAAGATTCAGAGTTTTGTCCCCATGATCACATTTGGTCAGAGCCTTTCTTCCAAGTACACTAATGTTATCTGTGTACAAAGCACACTATCTCCTTCAGGACACTAGGTGACCCAGCAATCCCTTCAGCCCAGAGGTTTTTCATGGTAACATTCCAACCTAGAAAATCTAATTATCTTACCAAGGGGCTCAGAATCCCCTGGGCTAGTGCCACAACTGTCATAGAATCCAATTCACTGTATTCCTAAAAATAAGATTTACAGGATTTTTAGAGTTACTTTATTCATTTGGAAAATAATGTCCAAAATCAAATGATTATTATTACATTGAGAATGTTTCTTGAAAAGTTTTTGAAGGAGAATATAAGCATAACATAATCTTTGCCAATAAAGGCAGAGCTTGAAAAAATGGAGGAAGGCCTTTTTCTTGTCTTTGATGTCAATTGTTTTACAAATTTATTTTAAACACCTTTTTGGTCAGTAAATCTGATAAATATATTTTGAGAGAATGGAAATATTTCTCACTGAAAAATAGGAGAAATGAATTTAAAGAAATTTCTCCATAGTGCTCCACAAACCATGAGATTTGACTCACGGGGTATCCCTGAAGAGTACCCCTAAATTCTAAATCTGTTCCCCTAGATACTTTTGTTTGTTTGTTTATTTTTGGTACCAGGGATTGAACTCAGGGGCACTTGACCACTGAGTCACATCCCCAGCCCTATTTTGTATTTTATTTAGAGACAAGGTCTCATTGAGTTGCTTTGTGCCTCACTTTTGCTGAGGCTGGCTTTGAGCTTGGGATCCTTTTGCCTTAGCCTCTGGAGCCGCAGGGATTGTAGGCGTGTCCCCTAGATACTTCTTAACCAGGGTCTAAGCTTTAGTCCCTGCTCTCTGGGGCTCTAACAATGGTAGGCCAGGATGAGAAAATGTTCTGCCTACTCCTGCCTGTTCAGTGAACACTGATTTATTGTTTGGCAAGGACAGCCACCAAACAGCCATCATCAAGTAGTGTCCTTCTCCTGCTGTAGCCTCTCATGACCAATCAGGAGCCAAGAGGAAAAAGATAGGGTGAAAGATTAGGAAGATCTCATACAACCCTCTCTTTTCACATACCTGGGACCAGCATCCCAGAGCCTTGTTCAAGTAATACAATTAGGTTGTTAGCAGCACTGGGACCCAAATCAGTTCCCTTGAATTGCACAGAAATCTCCCGAGAGTGCTCAACGCCCCAGTTCCCCTCTTTGGCATTGCCAAGGGACATCCTATTACATCCCTCTTGGAGAAAGATTAAAGTCTTAGCTAATTAGGGCAATCTCATAGTGAATAGTCCACCCCTGGCAATTTAAGAAATCACACTCAAAGAAGATAATCCAACAAAGGTCTGTTGAAATTCAGAGCAGGAAAAAAAATGTACTCTGCTTTGCAAAACGAGTCTTTTAGGAGTAGATGTTCAGAGGGTGTTGAAGAATAGTTGGAAACAGGTGTGGGAGGCCAGGTGTGAACAGCAGAAGCACAAGTTCCCATGGTCTCCCCTTCCTCTGGAGGATTCGTTAAAGCATTAGAGCTCTGCGACTCTTCACTTGTAAAAAACAATAATGAACTTCACCTGGCTTCACGCTTATATTTTAAGAATGAGTGAGGTAATGTAGCCTTAGTTTGAGTTCTTTTGCCCCCTACCTAATAAAAGCTATGTAAATTCAGTTTACTTTGAAATAATGTCTCCCACAACCATCACAAAATGAATTCCAGAGGACTAAATTTTTTTTAGCAACAGAAGTCAAGGTGAATCCTGGGATTATTCTCATTCCATCTCTAACTTTAGTGGTTTCCACAACTACAAACATGGTGTCATATGTCTCTTATGTCCTCACACTCAAGGTGAGTTCCTATGTGTTCCATCCTTGGTACCCAGTTACTCGTTAGAATAAATTACAAGGGTGGTGTTCTCCAGAATTGGCTTGGTAGATCTTCTCTTCTTTCCTCCTCATCTGTGTCCTTGTCAAAGATTCACTGTCCATCTCAGAAGAAACCTGGCCGAGCAACCTGACCATTCTTCCATCAAAACCACACCAACCTCCCAGTGGGAACCACAGACAACTACTCTTACGTGGAGTTCCCAGAACTTAATGGTTTCCAAACAGCATATCCCCACTGGTCTCCAAAATAAAAACCCCAGTGAGATCAGGGATGATATTTACTTCCTTTTGGTCAAGGTCTTTGCCTACAGGCTAAAAGACCACAGCTCACTCTCCAAAAATGTCCTCTGACCTCAATTCTACCACACCATTCCCCAGGTGGTGGTTCTGCTTCTGAGTTTGCTGGCTTCCTAAAAATGTTGGCTCTTATTTGGTAATAACAACCAAAACCTAGTAAGATTCTCATTGTTATGTTTCTTCCTAATATGTACTTTTTGTTAGATCAAAGATGAGAAGATTAAAAAAGACAAAGAGGCCAAAGAAGAAGTTAAGAGCTTCTTGGATCGAAAGAAGGGATTTACAGAAGTGAAGTCACAGAATGGAGAATTCATGACCCACAAACTTAAACATACTGAGAATACTTTCAGGTAAGAGGTAGTGACTAAGTTAACAATGACTGTGTTCACGTGTGGGGGAAAAAAAACCCAGTCTCCCTGTCCTGTGCCTCCAGACAGAAACGTGCTAAACAGGCAACATTCTTTGGTTGCAAAGTCATTGACCATTGTCTTAGAGATACACAGTCAGCAGGTCTGTCTCTCGAGTCACCAATGGGAGACCAGCAGTCATTGCTCAACCAGGCTTAGTCTGCTTTTCCTTTTTTTTTTTTTTTTTTTGCAAGGCAGATCATGCTTGGTAACCATGTTCCTGTTCACTGACCTAAAATGCTCACGTGACATCAGTCTGTTAAAAAATATTGTGACCGGGGTTAATATCATTGGTCCATTCTCTATGTGGTCTGGCTAACTTCATAAAAGACCCTTCTCATAAAAGACCATTTTCATGAATTCAGTTTTTAAGGGTTTAAATGTTACACAAAGCTCAGATTGTTTTATAGACAAATACTTGGGAAACTAAGTCACATTGTCAAATCCCTGAATGTTCATTTGCTTTGGGAATCTCTAAGAGGGCGAGGGCATGGAACTGCTGCTCCATTTCAAACAGTCTGGAAAAGTCGGGTATAGCTTCCCTCTCCTCACACATTGCCTCCCTATCAAATTGAAAATCCAGGCAACTGAATTATAGGACAGAACAGACCCGTATATGCAGGTGAACCCTCACTTCTTGGTACAGGTAAACACAGATCCGTCCATCAGTTTTGTAGAAGAACTCAGGTGCAGAGATTCTCTGCTGCATCACACACACATTCCTCCAATCACTTGTGCCAAATCCCAACCTCTGTTATATCCCTGGCTGCCAGGCCAGATGTGCTACAAAAGAGTTTGGGGTTTCTATGGTGTGGATTTCCATGTGGCTGGTCTTTGGCAGCAGCCTACCTGTAGACCTTGCTTTTCTGAGCACTTCAAATAAGAAAATCAACAAGGAGGTATTATATACAAGTTAGACTTGCTTCTTACATCAAAGTCTTTGTAACATTCAGAAGGGTTAGACTACTAGCAATGGACATTCCAGGCTCAGCTAAGAGGTTAAGGTGTGTAAACCTAAGTGCCCCCAGAACATTTTTTTTTCTATTTAACAGTCTGAGTAGAAACCTCGTTACATTTATGAGCCTAGAATACTCAGGATAAAGGTATGCATAAGAGACCTAAAGACAACTAGGAGGAAAAAAGAAAGATAAACTTTATAGACACTACTTGGAACTTGGGAAGGGAGTCAATATGATAATTAAGTTATTGGAAATTCATAGAAAACCTGGTAAACTGAATCCAAAACTTGCTGCACTAGCTGTAGTTTAATGGTTTAAAGTGCTACTGGAGTGTCACACTCATGAAAAGCCATGACTATGACTTAATATCATTATATTTTTATTACTTGATTGTCAAATATGTTTTGTAAGTAAAAGTTTTTTCTTTGGACTTTTGTCTTTTTTCTCTTGACTTTTGTCAAGAGAAACAATGTTCAAAAAAAAAATCTGTGTCTAGAAAGAAGTTTGGTTAACCTTTAGCAAACTTGCCCAGGGGCTTCAGTCAAAGCCCAAATTAATAATTAGCATGCCTATTGTGTGGAGATCTAAAGAGCTGGATAATTCCAAGAGAAGAAAAGTCACAAGAGATGGCAACAAGCGTTAAGAATGCTTGAATGTGACTCAGACCTTAGATTTTCCTTCTTTGGGCAGACAAAAAAAAATTAAGGGAACAGATTGTCCTCATGTTATTCTTGTTTGCTCATCTACCATCGTCCACAAACTTTCATGCCAGCTAGGAGGTGATGCTAACAGAAGCAGAGAAGCCTGGTTTTGCTCCACATTGTATAAAATGAGAAGCAAGGAAGGTAGTAAAAGCTTCATCTCTCCTCGCTTAAATGAAAACAAGCTGTGTTCCCAGTGGCCAAAGGCCTCATGTTCATGCTGAGTTAAACCTAAAGAAGCCAAAGATAGGAGAGAGGATGTTATGGAAGACGTTTCCATGCCGAGAGCCTACAGCACACATAGGTAGAGATGAAGTGGCCAAAGTCTTGCTCTTCTTTTGACCAGGGTTTGTTTTGGTTTTCTTTTTTTAAGGTGAGAATTAAAGGTTTTTTTCCTGATTATCAGTAGCATTTTTCCAGATATTTTTTACAGCACTCAAGATAGACACACATATGTACAGACACACATATGTCTACATGTGAATATAATTATAAAGATATGTTTTAAATGAGTCTTGCACCTTGCAAAACAATGTAGTATAGCTAGCTTCCTATACCAAAAAGTATGAACCTACATTCGTGGTGTTAGAGTTCACTGGATGAGGCATTATGATTTTACTTAATTAGTCCCCAATGATGGACCTTTTGATTGTCCAAAATGAAGACTGAGCGCCACCTAGTGGTACCCAGAGATGTTTCCATTAGGCACGTTGCCTAGTCCAGCCCCTGCACAGTAATATGGTTAGGAGAGAGTTTCTAAGCAAAGATGGAAAGACCTTAATGAACTGAGAGAGGCGTCGCAGGCCTGTGAATCTGTAAGACTCTGAAAGAGCAACGTTAAGTTTAAAAGACCCTCTAAACTTGTTTGAATTCAAAATAAAAGAGTTTATCTTTAACAGTCAAGAAACTAGAATAACATTTTTAAACTTTTTCACCTCGATCCATAGAAAAGAACAAATTTTGTAGCATGACCCACTACACACGTGAATATTTATAACTGAAACAAGTCTGTCAGGAAATGGTGCTTTTTTTCTCCATGCCATGTACTCTGATATTTTCTCTTCCATTTTTAAAATGCCAGTTACAAAATACTAAATTGATCTTTTGGTCTGCAGATAGGAAAACATTCTGAGGCCATGATAGAGTCAGAACTACCTCAGTGTTTAAAAACATGAGGTGCACAAAATAAGATCAGTATTGTATAATGTGTACCTTTAACCCATTTGTTTTTTATTTATCCTCTTGCTCCATAGCTAGAAATACTGTGCCACTCTTTTTATTCTTTTTTATTTGTTCTTTTTAGATACATATGACAGTAGTGTATATTTTGACATATTATACATACATTGAGAATAACTTATTCTAATTAGGATCCCATTCTTGTAGTTGTTCACGATGTGGAATTACACTGGCTGTGTATTCATATATGAACACAGGAAAGTTATGTCTGATTCATTCTACTGTCTTTCTTATTCCCATCCCCTCTCCCTTCCCTTCATTTGTGCCACCCTTTACACAGAATAAATGATATTATATAGTGGTGATTCTTTCGTTCCTAGACCAAGTTATCAGGGATGGGCTACCTAGGTATAGATCTTCTTAATATTTGTTAATTAGAGTTTAAATAGTAGACATGCAACATCCTTGTCTTTCAATTAAGAGTACCTGTAACAAGCCCCTTCAAGCTCACTGCTAAATTCTCCTAAATAAAGTCCCAACAGAATCCAATCTATGTGGATTCTGCTTTAGTGAAAACAGAGTGTTTCACGGAAGTTCTCCTGTGAGTACTAACATGTGCCAAAGTCAGCAGTAGTCCAACTCGGTTACAGAGCAAATTTATATAAAGGAGCTCAGAGTCAGTAGTTGCCCATGATGTTGTTCCATCTTTTCCTGTGATCCTTGTAAAATATTAAGAATGCTAGTTCTGGGGCTGGGGTTGTGGCTCAGCGGCAGAGCATTTGCCTAGCATGTGTGACGCCCGGGGTTTGATTCTCAGCACCACATACAAATAGGTTAAAACAAAAATTCATCAACAACTAATAAAAATATTTTTTTAAAAAAAAGAATGCTAGTTCTGAATTAAACTTTCACACAGGATTCAGGATAGCATTCTATCTTTAGCCTTAACATGTTTCCAGTTCTGTCATGAAATTCCTGTGGGTCCTCCTTAGTTCCAAAGGAAAATTCAAGTTTCAATTTCAGTCCCATCTTCTTCCTGTTTTATAAGCTGTGCTGTCTGATAAAGCATTGTTTGACTCAGGTATGGAAGGTGGGTAGGTTTGGACTAGAAATTCTAGAGACTCTGAGATAGGACACATCACTCACAGACTGTCCCCAAAGTGCCAAGTGAGAGGTAGAGGAGACGAACTTGTTCTATTTCAGCTGATTCATCATTTTATAACAGATCAAATTTAACCTCAGATATAATTATAGTATAGTGAAAAATAGAGTATAATTGGTAGAGAAACATTATAATTCAGTCATGGCTTAACAAATTTTAGCTACCAAACCTTTGGGTGGGTAAATCATTTTCTCCTTCATCTATGATGCACTTATTCATAGATTAGGGATAATAAACCTAACCTGCCAACTTTCCATTTATTGTGACTGTTAAATAAGATAATGAACAAGAAAAGGGTTTATAAATTTGTTATAAATGACATTTAAGAAACCACTCTAACCATTTCATATCAGAGCTAAATCCTGTTAAGGAATATTACAGTTGTATTGGGGTCAAAGAGGGTAGAAAATACACAAATTGAAGCCACGGGGAAATGTATGCCATTAAGAATTTTCTTGGAGCAGCTCTGTAAAAATAGACATGTATTATTATATTTAGCTCAATCAAGAGACAATGGGTCAATTCATCTGCCAGAAAGCCGCTTTAGCATGCTCCAGGCAGAGCTGTACATAGGTGGATGTATTTGCTTCAGTACCAACCCTGAGTTCAACCATTTTTTCCTGTCTCTGGTTCCTGAACTCTTCTGTCCTCTCTCTTGATCTGTGATTCCAGGCAGATCCAAGGTTACCGGGAATTTATTTAAGCCACTCCTAAATTTCAAACTTATTCTAATAGTCATGGAGTACAGGCCTTCCTTTCTAGGAACAACTAGTATTTACAACAGTGGATAAATCAACATTTAAATAGTAAATAATCCCATGGGACCCAAAGAGTAACCCACTGATGCAACAGAATCAATGTATTTCCCCATTTTTTTCATGCTATAGAATAGGTCATGTATTTTTTTTTTTTTGAGAGAGAGAGAGAGAGAGAATTTTTAATATTTATTTTTTAGTTTTCTGCGGACACAACATCTTTGTTTGCATCTGATGCTGAGGATCGAACCCAGGCCGCACGCATGCCAGGCGAGCGTGCACCGCTTGAGCCACATCCCCAGCCCTGGGTCGTGTATTTTTAATTGTAGTAAAAAATTTTTGCCATTTTAGCCCCTGTTAAGTGTGCAATCTGATACTTAACATTCAGTATATTCTCAATATAGATCTCCAAAATTATTTCCTCTTGCTGAACCTAAACTCTACACCCTTTAAACACCTCCTCTTTCCCCTTTCCTCCTAGTCCCAGGTAACCACTCTTCTTTTTTCTATTTCTATTAATTTGCTTATTTTAGATCCTTTATAGAAGTAAAACCATACGGTATTTATAACTGGCATATTTCATTTCGCATAATGTCCTCAAGTTCATCCAGTTGAAAAGTGTATCAGAATTTTCTTTCCTTTTAAAGGCTGAATAATATTCCACCAAATAGATAGACCACATTTTGCTTCTCCATTGAGTTGCTTCCCTTTCTTGGCTCTTGTGAATAATGCTGCTCTGAGTAGGGATGTACCATCTCAAGTCCCTGCTGTCAGTTCCTCTGAATATATACATAGGGTATCCTATTTTTAATATTTTGAGGAACTCCTGTACTGCATTCCATAGCAACTGCACCACTTTACACTCCCACCAACAATACATATTTGCTCCCACTCTGCAGCTGAGGAAGTCAAGGAGAAGTGGCGCATTAGGGGCCCTGGCTCAGCCCTCGCCGTTCCTGGCAGACCCCTACTACACTCTGGAGTGGGGATCCAGGGTCTAAAATGATGGGCGTGGAGATCTGGCCTGGGGTGCAGAGCCTGCAGACGCCCGCTCCTTCCGCGGAGGCTGCAAGGCTGAAGCCTTAACCCCCTCCGTCCCCTGCAGCCCCAGCCGCCCCGGAGCGCGGGCCGTCGGGGAGGCCGAGGGCGCCCCGCAGGTGGAAGCCGGCAAGAGGCTGGAGGAGCTCCGCCGCCGGCGCGGGGAGACCGAGAGCGAAGAGTTCGAAAAGCTCAAACAGAAGCAGCAGGAGGCGGCCTTGGAGCTGGAGGAGCTGAAGAAAAAGAGAGAGGAGCGAAGGAAGGTCCTGGAGGAGGAAGAGCAGAAGAGGAAGCAGGAGGAAGCCGACCGCAAGGCCAGAGAGGAGGTAGGAGGCGCCGAGCGGCCCCGGGTTCAAGTGCGCAGTCAGCCTCGCTGTGCTGTGCGCCGGGCGAGGGTCTCAAACCTGTAGACTGTGAGTTTAGCCAGTTCTCATAAGAACTCTATCATGTGGGTACCAATCCCCACTTATCAGATCAGGAAACTGAGGCACAATTTTTGTAATTTTTCTCCAAGTCCCATGTGCCTTCTAATTAGCCCCTGTCCTATTTTGCTTCTCAATAAAGAACGGGGAGAAAACTCAGATGCAAACTAGGTACAAGAATTAAGTTACTCGTTAGTTGTTTCCTAATACTTGAAAAGTTTTTGTAGAGAAGATTTTTTAAAGTAGATTAGAAAATAGTAAATAGGCAGGGTCAGTATCTAATCTACTCACTGCTGTGTACCCAGGACCCAGTACAGTGCCTGATACTACTACAAGAGCCCTGTCATTATGAACAGATGAATTTGTTCCATCCTTTAGACAGAAATAACAGTTAAAGTTGCAATGAAGAAAACTTTAGCCCAACGTATGAAAAAATGCTTACCCAGCTACAATTATATTATTATATTGCTACATATACATATATTATATATAATTATATTGCTACAGTTTACAAAATACATTCTTTCTTTTGATCCTGGGGTATGTTCCCATTTTATGAACAAAGAAATCAGGAACCAAATAGTTTGAGTGACTTCTTTGAAGATTCTTGACTGATAAGTGGTAGAATCAGTAGTAGCTGGGATCCTACTTTTTCAACTCTTAAGCCTAAAACTTTTTGAGATAATGATCTCTCATCCTTCAAAATATGCAGAAAATATTTCAATGACTTTCTGACATGAATTCTATTCACATAGTTTTCCTAAACTATGTGAAAAGTTTGGATAAAACATTCCAAGGTCAACTTTGAATAAGTAAAGAAATTTTGATTGGAAAGTATTTGTGATGGTAGAGTTTTATAATCAGACATACCTGAACTTGTATCCTAACTCTGCCACTTAACAAGCTGGGACCTTGGGAGAATTGCTAGATGACTCTGTTTTGTTTTATCTGTGAAATAATATCTACTTGGCAAGATTTTCCTGATGACTAAATAGATCATTGTCTTCACAGTGCCTGGCCGGCCCCAAATAGGAACCCAAAAAGTGGTAGTTATCATTATTCTTACCATTATTACTATGTTGCTTAGAAGAGGAGAGTATCAGGAAAACAAAGGGAAATCATGACCTCTTAGAACTGGATTACACTTGGAGGGTTATTTTAGTCTAAAGTTCTACCAAAGCAAAGCATTGGATCCTTCTGTAACATCCTCTGCTAGACGGACATCAGTCTTTGCTTGAGAATACCAGTGATAATGATTTCATGGTTTAAAAACGACAAAAGACTGCCTAAATCCCTCAAGAAATCATTCACACAAGACAGGCAACTTGATCAGAGCTCTGAATTTTTTGCCTAATAAAGGACAGAACTGAGTGTTCTCAGCCAGGAATAGAGGCATAGAGGGGTTCATGAGTCAGGTTGTAAACATCTGTAATTTCACCACTAAGTCTCAATATGGACATCATTTCAGTTTTGTCAAACCATCTAAAATAATGCATAATCAATAACTAAACAGAGGGCTAAAATGTAAATGTATTCAGTTGAGACCAGGGGCAACCCTAAAACCATCTCTTGTGCAATTTGGTTAACATAGTACCATGGATTTATTAAATTTTTTGCATAAATGTTCTCGTTTTTAACAAATCTTCTAGGAAATAGATGGGAAGGATATTTGTGTTTGTTGTACTTATACAGAAATGAAGAGTCAGTATTAAATGACTTACAGGATAGTAAGGCTAATGCATCCCATTAAGGGAATTGACCATACTGAGCATTAATGTCCGCATTTTAAGTAGCAGATGTTTAGTGTCTACTAGGAATCCTCTCTATTTTTCAGATGAAGAAACTGAAACATACAACAGATAAATAACATGGCAAAGGACATACAGTTGCTGGAGGGGGAGTCTGTTGCCTTGGCTGGTGTTCTTTCTCCCAGAGCACTCTTCCCCTTCCCCTGAAGCCTGCCCTGAAGTCCTTGTTATTTGTTCTTTCTTTCTTAGGAAGAGAAGAGGAGGCTAAAGGAGGAGATTGAGAGGCGAAGGGCAGAAGCTGCTGAGAAACGCCAGAAGATGCCGGAAGATGGCTTGTCAGACGACAAGAAGCCGTTCAAGTGCTTCACTCCTAAAGGCTCATCTCTCAAGGTATTTCTCTCCCCTAGAAAACCTTCGTAGAGTATTCCTCTTCCAACAGAAGCCTGGCTCTAGGCCCCCGTTTAGTCATGGACCATGAAAGCCTTCCCTGGCTTCATTTCTCTCTTTGCCATCCTCTGTTCAGGCTGCTGTAAGAGGAGGCCTTGGACTGGGTAATTTAGGAACAACAGAAATGTCTGGCTCGCAGTTCTGGAAACTGGCAAGTCCAAGTCAAGGTGCCAGTAGATTCAGCAGCTGGCGAAGGCCTGGGCCTCCCAGATGGCGACTCCTCATTGCCTTCTCACTGGGTGGAACAGATGGAGGGCCAGTGGTGCCCCCTCCATCTCTTGTGAGCACTAATCCCATTCATGAGGGCTCATCCTCATGACCTGGCCACTTCCCTGCCTTGCAACACCAGCACACTGGGGATTAGAGCTCAACATATGAAATTTGGAGGATCTTGAACACAGCCCCCCGCCCCTTTCAGCTATTTCCCAGCTTCTCTTGTTTATAACATTTGGAAAGGAAAGAAAGAGGTGAGATTTGTATCTGTTGTTAATGTGGCACTTTGATATACATTAAGGTAACATTTGATGATTCTCAATTTCATTGATCCATTCTCTGTGTACCTCATTGCTTTGAGCGATTGAAAATGGAACATTTGAACTTTATAAAATGAGCTTTTAGAGCATCTGAAGTTTGAAAAGGGCTTATGCTGCTTTGCACGCTAGCTTCATCATCTTTAAAAGAAGGGCTACCAGAAATGGCACCTTTCACATTTCAGAGCTGTTATCATGGGAAGAGATGAAATGCGACTTGGATAGGGTCCTTTGCCAGGATGAGTTTGGTCCTACTCTTGCCCTCATGGAGTGGAGTTTCTGTATGACAGAAGTGCTTCCTAGAGAAGGGAAGGGGCTGAGCCAGAGAGATGATGGAATGGTTGATGTAGGGAAAAGGACAGCAGACTCAGGAAAGCACTATCTGTTGCTTATAATCAATGTCATGTATCTTTTGCTTTGAGGGTTAACATTTAATTGAGCACCTAGCACAGTGCCTTGCATAATGAAGATACTAATAAATATTTGTTAAAGGAATAGATCAAAGAATGAATGAATCTTGGGTGAAAATTTTACATTTTTATTCTATCCTCATTTTCCATCAGCCTAGCTAGGTTACAAAGTATCAATAAGAAGCAAAGACAGCATACAATTATAGCCAGGCTCCAGTGGTTGAGGGTGTTCGATGAGATCATGTGATGTAGCACTCAAAAACGATGAAAACCAGTTACTTACATTTTATAGTTATTACTTCTTCAGATGAAAATCAGAATATTTTATCTTCAAATAACTTCGCTTAGTCTTTATGATGGTCTGGTTCCTTGTCCATCTGGGTCCCAAATTGACCATAATCATGCAACATACCATGACATTTTGGCCAATAATAGACTGGATGTTCAGTGGTGGTCCCATAAAATTATATCACCTACTTACATCATAGCTGTCTTGTTTTTGTAAGTATACTCTATTATGTTCACATAATAATGAAATCACCTAATGACAGCACATTTCTCAGATGTATCCCTTACTTTAAGAAATACATAACAATATTTGTATTGGAACTCTCATCTTGAGGTCTGTTTCAGGGAAAAATCCTAATTAAGCCACAGAGGAATTTTGTATTTAGTACTTGGTATTTGTCATATACCTCATGTGTGCTGTACACCATTGAGAAAGAGCAGTATGAAGCAAGTTGCAGGCCCTGTGTTGCTAACGTGACTGACTGACTCACAGGAAACAATTCAAGAATTGCAGAGGGAACCAAATGCTAATCATTGAGACCTCAGCAAAGCAGAAGGAGTAGAGAGAGGCTTCGTGTGGTAGACAGCTTTATTTATCAGCACTGAAATTTGAATTTCATAGTTTTCTTATGGTAAAAAATATCATTCTTCTTTGGAATTTTTCCATTTAACAATGTAAAAAATTATTCTTATCTTGGGAGCTAGGCAAAAAACACAGATTGCATTATTCCCACTGGGCGAACGGGCCATGGATTGCAGGCCAGGCTCTAGGAGAAAAAGGAGAAAGTAAACAACTTCGTCAGTTCTGCCTATCTCTGTCTGTACAGTCCCCGGAGTCCAACCTGCTCCCAGTCTGGGTCTTTTGTTCCTGGCTCAACCAAGGAGGAAAACTATACTCTGTCTTTCTACCTTCTTTAAGATCCCACTCCAGCTGAGCTTTCCCTGAATAGTCTTGATAACGTGAAGAAACCAGTGGTTCTGTAGGCTTCCAGATCCTGCTCTGTTTTCCAGAGAAACTACAACTCTTGTTTCTCTTCTGTGATTAGCTCCTGTTGGCCAAATGCCTCGACTTCCTTATTCCTGGTCTTTCCCTCAACCCCACACCTGGCTTTCCATTTCATCTAGCCCTCTCTGGAATCCCTTTATCAACTCCCTCTGGTAAAGAAGCATGTGTAAGCAATCAACTAGAGAAGATGTTAAAAAAAAAAAAAAGACATTTTTTAATTTCTTCATACAGGGACAGGCACATTGCTATTTGATATTATCAAATAATATAAAATATTTTATATTATTAAATATTATCAAAAAATGTATTTTGTTAATTTCTCATGACTTCTATTGTCTGAGAAGCTCGGAAACTGGTCTCTCATTGTTAAATTATATTAGCAGTGAGTAATTTTTATAGGTAAAACAAGCAAAGAATAAACTTTAAATTAATTTAAAGGTTTGTATAATTATTACTGTTTTCATGTATTGATAGTGAAGCATGGAATGGTATCAATTTTCTAAACCTTGATTGTCTTTATAATCTCTTCTCAAGACAACACTGCCACCTCGTGGTCTTCAGAGAAATTTCCCTGGTTAACTGGTCAGACATTCAATAGAACATTGAATTTACAAATTCCATACACATTGTTTCATTCCTTTCAGCCATTAAGTTAGGGCATTTTCCCAAAAAGAGGGCATCCATAGGATGGTAAGTCCCAACAAAATGCAATGAGTCAAGCTGGATGAGCTATTCCAGAAACAGGAGGTGGGATTCTGAGCACCTTGGATGTGAAAAACTGTGATGGCCAAAGTGAGAAGGATGCTCCCTAAGCTGGAAGGATGCTTCAGTCTCAGCTCTGCCACCACCATGAGTTCTTCAGTTCCACCTCCCTGCCTACCCCAACTCCTTGAACATGAATTTGCTTTGTTAAAACTGTCCTTTCCCCTCGAACCTGCACTTCCATTCTCACTTTCATAGATTCAATCATGAAACTGTGAAAACTACTGAGAAGCCTTCTGCAACTCCCCCCAGATACTTGCTTGCCTTAGACATACCATTTTGTTCTTATCTTTAATAGGGTACCTACCATTGGTTTTTTGACTTTATATTCTTCCCTATTAAATTTGTATGCTTCTTAAAAGAATGAGTCCTTGTCTCTTAGTCTGCTCAGATTGCCATAACAAAACCCCATAAACTGGTTTATATATGCTAAATGGGCTGTTCAATGGTCTGTCTTTCTTTTTAAGCTACAAACTTCTTTTTGCTACTAAATCAACATTGCACGTCATGGAAACTTTATCACTTAAATTCATACATTCTTTATAAATCAATAAATATTTGTTGACTCCATGTGGTACCCAACTCCAGACTAGAGATATTCTCTGCTACCAATTGTCCATCAATATTAGCAAATAGTGCAAATCTCTTGATGTATGACTGCCTGTTCCAAAGCACCCATGTGCTGAAAAGTTTTGTGTTCTACCCTGTCCAGGTCAGCCTCAGAACCATCTGGACGATAGTTACCTACCCTAGGCTGATGTGGTTGAATGTCCCTCATCTCAATCAGTTTAGACTAGAAAATTACTATAGAGTGGGTGGCTTAAACAACAAACATTTATTTCTCAGTTTCGAGACTGGGATTTTTGAGTTCGATGCCAGCATTGTTGGGTTCTGGTGAGGCTCCTTCCTTCTTCAAGATGGCCAAAGAACAGACAGAGTAAGCAAGCTCTCATGTCTTCCCTTATAAGGGCACTGATCCCATTCCTTAGGGCTCCAACTTCATGACCTAATGACTTCCAAAGAGCCTCACTTCCAAATGCTACCACATGAGAGTTTCGATTTTAATGTATGAGTAATTAATTTGACAGTCATTATAATATTTTAGAAGCATTTTTATCATCTGATTTTTGACTTGCTTCCCACACTTTGTATTTCTCTACTTATTTTCACTATCCTTTGCCGATCCTACCTTCACCTCCCAAATCTCCATCAAATGCCTTATTTGTATTTTCCCCCAGCTGAGCTGCTGCAATATTGTCCTAATACCTTTATACATTCTTTGGTATTTTTATTCACCAGGCTCAAGAACAATAGTAGCATGGGCTAAAAATATTAACAGGATTTATTTTCTTTTTCAATTCCTAGATAGAAGAACGAGCAGAATTTTTGAACAAGTCTGTGCAGAAAAGGTAAATATGGTTCAATTGAGAATAACTAGCTATTATATACATGGAAATATTCTTCTATCCCATGAATGAAGATTGGTGGATCTAATTAGATAAATTGAATCCATCTATATCCATATATATATATATATATATATATATATAGTGTGTGTGTGTGTGTGTGTGTGAGAGAGAGAGAGAGAGAGAGAGATTAGGGATTGAATCCAGGAGTGCTTTACCACTGAGCCACATCCCCAGTCCTTCTTATTTTTTGTTTTTGTTTTGGGACATAGTGCCACTAAGTAGCTGAGGGTCTTGCTACATTGCTGAGGCTGGCCTTGAACTTGCAATCTTCCTGTCGAGGCCTCCTGAATCACTGGCATTACAGGTGTACACCATCACATTTATATTCTCTCATATTTTTATTTATTTAGCAGTGGTGTCAAAACAGCTCATCAAGCTGCAGTAGTCTCCAAGATAGACAGCAGGCTGGAGCAGTACACAAGTGCAATTGAGGTGAGAATTGGCCTTCAATATTAACAGGAGGTATTGATAGTTTTGTTGTGGTGCTGTTGAACAGAAATAGGCTCTGATGCCCTAGAAGATCACAGAAACACTCAGGAGAATAAAGAAGTCCAGGATCCACTGAGGTGTTAATGATGCTTTACTCTACTTTGCACAAGTTATGGAGAAATACAGTAATAAAGATAAATATAAAATATAAATAAAGTTATAAAATATAATAGTTACAGAAGAGTTTTAAATAGATTACTGCTCACTACTTTCAGCCTGAATGTTCTGAGTATTATTCTTTTAATGAGTGAGTTTATTGGTAATTAATATATTATGTAGATGTTCACAGGTGTTCTTCACTATCCTTAATTCTTTATGCAATATGTTCCTTGTATTTGATTTAACTAGGTCCCTTACAATTTTGCTTAATCCTCTTTTGTTTATAAAATGTCTTACTATTAAATAAAGTAATAGTATAAGATAATGTAAAGATTATAGCCAGCTCAAGTTTGAAGGACAATAGTTTTGTAGGTTCTATCTTACTTGAATCTGATTGACCTGGAGGTTTTACTGTATTTGGAAATAATGTGTATTTCTCATTGACTAAGGTACGTCTCTAGTTTGTTCTCTTTATGTAGACTTCAGTCAATGCTTTTAGCCTCCTTCTGAATCAGAGTGTCTGCAATGAAGTAATTACATTAGTTTGTTTTTTCTCATCTTCTTTGTACCCTTGAATGGAGATGCCTATAAGATAGTTTGCAAACAAATGATAAGAGGAAATAAGAAATGGAGAGCTCTGGTTTGTCAAATGAATAATCAAGTCCTAACACTTGAGATGTGATTTTTACTCATAAGATTAATGTCCACTAAATATAAGACAAATTGCAGACAGCAATTTTCTGTGGTTCAGTTGGTCTTGGCACTAATAAGTCTAATGAAATCGAGACAGACTTCAGACTTTGCAGAGACTGGCAAAAATCATTTTTTAAGACATGGCCCCTAGGGGCGCCACTCATTATAGTTGACCATCTTGACCACAAGTCACAGAGCAAGACCAGAGGAAAAGTATCTCAAATGCATATCTCCCTTACTCACAACCATTCTTTCCTCCTTCCAGTGTATTCATCATGCTATAATATCTCAGTCTTTCAGTCTTGAAGCACTTCCCTGCTCCAGAATATATGCACATGCTGTTACCTTGGCATAGAATAGAATTTGTTCCTCTTGTTCCCTTTACTACTTCTGAGTCATTTGCCAGGTCAGAGTAGTCTGTTTATGCCCCCAAACAAACCATGTTCAGTATTCTGTCCCCTTTTGCCAGGCTTTATAGTACTTATTATTTCTCATTGCACTTTCCACAATGTGAAAGAAACACTTGTAACTAGTTACCATCTTTCCATTGAAACCTAAGCCCGCTGAAGCTTACAGAGAGACTTTTGCCCACCTTTCAAGCATACTTGAATACCCTCTTTTACTCAGAACTTAGCAAAGTTGCCTGCCCATAGTAAAGATTTAAAATATATCTATTGAATTTAAAAAGTTAGATATTACCTTAAAAATAAATAATACCCCATTAGAAAGCATATTTCATTTTTGAAAGCTCTTACAGTTTATTTTGGGGGCTATTATGTCTTCAGAGTACAGTTTTGTTTTTGTTTTAATTTTTTTAAGCCAGTCAAATTTAGCAGTGGGGGGTTGTATATCAACTTTAGTAACACTAATGTTAATAAGTTCTGATAATCCACTACCATGGAATCAGCCCAGAGTACACTTTTACAACAGAAATCATGACTTATTTTTGGTGAAGGTGTATACACAATGAAATTTTTAAATGATCCTGTTGAGAAAGATCAGCTTTCTGTAATTTTACAAGGACAAGTTTCTCAGCGCCAATCCTAAAGATAATTCAACCATTTCAGGGAACAAAAACTGCAAAACCTATCAAGCCAGCAGCCTCTGATCTTCCTGTTCCTGCTGAAGGGGTACGCAATATCAAGAGCATGTGGGAGAAAGGGAATGTGTTCTCGTCCCCGACTGCATCAGGCACACCAAATAAGGTAAGCGTGTGATTTTTGTCTTTTAAGTTTAGAGGAGTGGATTTTTTCCCCTCATTTTGTTTTAGAAGTCACACTAGTTGGTAATAAAAGCACTGGTAAAGGTGCAATTTTTACTTTGTTTTGCAATGACCATAAAAGCAAGTTTAGGGCAAATGTACTCAGGAAACGATCCTGTGTACAAGACCTGGCCATAGACCTCTAAGTAAAATGCTTGAGGTTACTTGCTAACTCTTTGGGTTGGGATGGCGTGAGGTACACAAGAAAGAAAAGCAGATATTCCTTTAGTATCAATATCATTTAGGTTTATGGTTCTGTAAAATAATACTTAATGGTACTTAGGGGTTGCTTCAAGATCCCTTCCCAGGTTAAGTTTATTTTTTTATTTAATGTTTTGGATGATTGACTCTAGGAAACTGCTGGCCTGAAGGTGGGAGTTTCCAGCCGCATCAACGAATGGCTAACTAAAACCCCGGATGGGAACAAGTCACCTGCTCCCAAACCTTCTGTAAGTAGCTGCAGGTTTTTCTGAGTTTCTGTGATCTTGGCTTCCAGCAGCAGCAGGAAACAGGCAGTTGGTCTGTTGATTTAGGAAAGAAGGCGCTTCTGCTGTTTGCTGAGTGTCAAGCAAGGAGGTGTGCACCTGGAGGACAATCCCGGGCAGCCTTACCGTGATCACCCAGAGGGTCAATGGAGCCAGATCATCACCTCTCCACTCCGAGAGGAGGACTTAGCCAGAATGTAGAGCAGTTCAAACTTAGACCCTTCACTGGTCTATTGTTTAGCTTCTATTCTATAAACTACAGATAGGAATTTGAAAATAAAATGTCAAATTACTTTGGCTGCTTCTCTGTTATGAAGAATTCTACCCTTATTCCCAAAAGAGTGTATATTGGTCATTTTGAACCCATATTTTCTAATTTACCCAGTTTCTATAACTTGGCATAAAAATGCAGTTCTTGGGTAGTTGTTGAAATAATTGCTATCATTTTATTATCAGTACCTGCAAAGGAAAACCATAAAAAATTGGAAATTAGATAACTTGGGGCCATTTTTTCCTATAACCAGTAAATTTAGCAACTAGAAAAACTGATTATGAGTGTTATTTTTAAAAATCTAAAATTTTCTCATTTATCAAGTGTAGCTATATTATTAAAAAATTTTTATTTTAACCTTCATTGAGTGTGTATGGTAAGTGCCTTACATATAAATACCCTATTGTATATTGCTGAGCATTCTGTTAGGTTGGCTGTATACCTTTGTTGGTACCCAAGAAAGCAGAGTTAATCACCATAAACCCTACATTCTAGAAGGAGAAGAGAAACTTTCTAAATACCAGGTCTCTGGTGTTGAGCCACAATAGCATTTAATTTTATCTGTCCACTCCACATATAATCCCTAAAGTCACTAAATTTAAATTCTATATTTTTCCAATTAAAAAAAAAGGACATGTTTGGTTTTTTTTATTTTATTATTATTATTATTATTTTGTACTGGAGATTGAACTTAGGGGAACTACATCCCCAAAGCTTTAATTTTTTTTTTTTTTTTTTACATTTAGAGACAGGGCCTCACTAAGTTGCTGAGGCTGGCCTTGAACTCACAATCCTCCTGCCTCAGCGTCCCAAGCTGCTGGGATTGCAGGCTTGTGCCACCACGCCCAGCTGCATATCCTTCTTAGTACAATTCCTTGAGGCTATTAATTACTATTCAACCCAAGACACTTTGCCTAAAGGTTCACAAGAAGCATAAACAGTGTAAACCCAATTTGCAATTGGAAAATCTTTACATATTGACCAACACAGCTAGATATAGGAGAGGAGGTCCTGTAAAAGGATACAGTGGACACAAGAAAACATATCTCAAAAGTATTTGCTCTTTAGTGCCTTAAGTTTCCCAGTACCCATGATAACTTACAGAGTATAAATTATTCCAAAAAACAAACCATGACAATTTGTACAAAGCTTCTGATTCCAGGCCAATGACTAGTGAACTTTTTCAATTATGGACCCATTTGAAAGCCTAATAAAATGTAAGGAAGCTCTCCCACACAACATCTACAAGTTCAAGAAGCTCATAGACCCCCTGGAGAACTCTCAAGATAGAAAAGGAATGAGGAGGGAAAGATAATGTTTTCCTCTTTGAGTATGGCACATTAATAGAGGAAGTGGTAATTTTTTTCAGGTTTATAGCCAACTTGTTCTCAGAAATTTGATCCCTACTTGTTTATCAGCAATTTAACTACAGTCTTATCATAATCTGTATGTCATTCTAATGGAAAGATTTAAAAGATTAAATTCAGTTATTATTATAATTGGCATAACTATGCCAAAGTTCCCACATACTAAATAATTACAACAACATTTTCTAGGATTATTGTTGGCTAATGGCTTCCTAATAAAAGGCAGAATGGGGAAATTATGGAATCAATGTCTGCTTTACCTACAATTTAGCAAGTGATTTGCTAGACCACCTCCTGAAAGGTAGAGGTTAAAAAAACAAATATGGCAGTTCTTATGATTTTAGAGATCTCTTTCTTCACATTTGATTCTGTGGACCAAGGTGGCTTCCTGAATAAGGACCATATTGGAAGAAATCAAAATGTAATTCATATTGTAAATAAAATACTAGGTCTTATGTACTTATTAAGCCACTTTAAGCTTTATGCATGCTCCAGTGGTAGTAATAGTGACCCATATTTTAGACCTAGCCTCCCAGCAACATGTCAGAGAATGGATAGCAACAGGGCATTCTCACTGGGAGAGAAAATGACTTGGAGTTCAGTACAGTAGACATTTGTTTCCCAGACACTATTGTTCCAACAGAAGGGTGAAGTTTTGGCAGTGTGGGAAGCGTTGGAAGAATCCTACAGATGCCTAAACGTAGGCAGGCAAAAAAAAAAAAATCCAAGAAAGGTGGTTTAGAAAAACAGCTCAATCAAGGATCTTGGTCTCATCCACAGGATCTCACACTGTTGGCCTTCGGCTAAGATCTGTGTGGCTTGACCCACACCATTGTGCTGTATTTTCATTTTTAAGAGTATACTTTGTCCTAAAGTATACTCTTAAAGTATACTTTGAAGCATAGAAAGCTGAACTCTTGAGGTTGTTGATTCCTCTTTTCCTTAATTTCTTACTGCCAAAGCCTCTTTGGCCATTGGGTGTTTCCACCTTGGTCCTTCATGGAAAACTTGTGAGTATGACACCATTCTAACTCAGGCCAGACTGATCCTGAGCCCAGAATGTCAAAAGATTCCTAAAAACAAGGACAATTAGGAGAGTCATAAAGCTGTCTTCTGATTTGGGAGAGGGGACAGTTTACAGCCAGCTCATTGCTTCTGTTCTTTGATGTAGGATGGAGGGAGGAGAAAGTTAGGTTTGTGCTTGCATAGAGATATGTGGCCATTAGGACTAAACCAACGAGAAATTAATGGAACCAAATGGTCCTCATCCAGGGAAATGCCAAGAGGAAGGAAAACAGTAAATCGTAGGATTAAAGTGTTGACTTCTAAGCTCACTGCAGAGAAAAACATCGTCTACCAGTAGAAAAGTAATAATTTTCATAGATGTTAAGAATTACATGTTCTCAGAACAGTTTGCCAACTCAATAGTATTTGGAATTCCTGAAAATTAATTTATATAAAATTAAACATTGACCTATAGCAGATTTCTTACTGGGACATTTAAGCTGTTTGTGCATAGAATTTAGAGGATTTCCGTGTCATTTTGTAACTGGAATTCAATTCTAAGTGTCTGTTTTGGCTGGTTTGTCTTATTCTTTGTGTCTGAACTGCATGTTATACAGTAATTAAAAAGCTAATTTGTCTTTCTTTTTGTTTAAAAAAAACCACAACCACCAACAGTGTCTTTCTCAGCTGGCTTCTCTTCTTCCCTCTTTGGTCTGGTTGATTGGAAACCTGCCTCTCCTGCCTTCATTTCTCCCTCTTCTTCCGGAGTGTGTCTTTCTCTAAAATGTAGTCTGGTCAGGTAATTCCATTTATATTTCCCCTTTGATCTAAGGATGCTAATATTTTCTTAAAACTGACTCTTTAAACTCTTTAAGTAATCTCCAAAGATTCACTGGCAGAATTTAAGGAAAACGCAATCCATTTTCTCAGGTAGAAGAAGCTTCATGTGAAAGAAAAATATTTGTTCCGCACAAATCAAATAAATAATGTGATAACAGCCACTTTTCCGAGCTTCCATCAGCATGTTCCTAATTATACTTTGCAAAATTTCAAAACAGTCTTCCAGACAATTTGGCAACTTTTACCTACATTGGCAAATGTAGTGAAATTCTTAAAAAAAAAAAAAAAAAAAAAAAAAGTCCTGATTTGTTGCTTAATGTTTCCAAGTTAAATAAGAATAACTCTAATAGAATATCAGGAATTTATGCCACAGCAGAAATCCAGAAATTCAATAAGATTAAGGCGAATCTGAAATGCTTCACATGGTACCATTTAATAGTGCATTTTCAGTGTTGAGATCTCAATGCTATGTATTAGAAATATGTTCAGTTAGACCGGTGTCCAAGGATAAATGCAATTGCTGTGAGCTTTGCCTTCTTAAATTAGAAAAGAGTTTGCCAAAATAAGCAGTACTATTTCAGTAAAACACATTTATTTTCTACAAACTACCTTTTGCCAAGTACTAATATAAGCAGATGCTGGAAGAAAAGTAAATGGAAACAGAATTTTGGATCCTCATCCAAACAAAATTAGTTATGAGGCAGTAAATAAAGGCTCAAAGCTCTATAACTGTTATAGATCATATTTTAGTGTTTCCTTCCCAAGATCCCCACATGTACTTACATATGTCATTGACTCTCAACTTCCCTTATGGGTACAATTTGCGATAGACATTTATTTTTGTGGGGCTAGGTTCTTCTGAATTACCCACTTGCCCCTAGGAAACACAAAAGGGTTTTTGGTGGGAGGAAAGTACAGTTAGAAAAAGGTTTTATCTGGGCTATTAGACTCCAAGACAGTGATCCTAGTGCAAGGGGTTTATTTTGGAGGTGAAGAAAATACTACAGGGATTGAGATGGGGAGAAGAAAGCAGACAGTAGGGACTGTGTTACTAAGCAAGTCACTGAATGGGCTGTTGGTGGAAGCCCTGGAACCCTGGAGAACACATGCTTCTAAGACTTCCTACCCCAGAGCATGAGGAGGTCTGAGCAGCATTCTTGTGCCTATGCTCACTGGTCAGTGGTTGAGAGATGCTCCTGGGATATGAACTATGCAGGCAGTGGGCATCTACAGCCAGAGAAAGGCCTGAGGCAAAGAAGTGCAGTGTTGGCAACCAGAAGTCACGCACTAAAGCAGTAAGGGCTGGGGATGTGGTGGGGTACAAAGAAAGAAAGTTAATCTACAAGGGGGAAAATGCTGATTAAACCCCAAATAAGTTATTTTTAAATAACCCATGCTCTATTCACTTTTCATAGAAAGTTAGAAGTAGGCTACGTTATTTTAAATATGCTTATATTCTAATTTCACTGTTTGATAAACAGTAAATCTTTGGTGAAGGACAAGGACCCAGATGCTGTATGTCATTCCAGCCCATTCTCATGCCATCAATCAGGTTGAGGTCTGTATAAAATCAAATAACAGTGAGTGATCCTTTTAATTCCATCCACTTGAGTTCACTGGGGTCAAGGGTACTAAACAACAAATTAATCCAAACAAGACAATGGATATGGTGATTGATTTAGACCTGGTCAGAAAATATAAATGGCTACCTATCAAAGGCTTCTGCTTTCTCTTCTTTCTGCATTAGGACTTGAGGCCAGGAGACGTAACTGGCAAACGGAACCTCTGGGAAAAGCAATCTGTGGATAAGGTCACTTCCCCCACTAAGGTAAATTCTCAGAGGACTGGTATTTTAGAGGTTTCTTTTCTTTCTTTTTTTAAAATTGATTTTATTTTTTAACTACATGGCTGAAGAATGCATCACAATTCTTATTACACATATAGAGCACAATTTTTCATATCTCTGTATGAAAATATATATATAAAGTATGTTCACACCAATTCATGTCTTCATACATGTTCTTTGGATAATGATGTCCATCACATTCCACCATCATTGCTAACCCCCTGCCCCCTCTCTTCCCCTCCATCCCTCTAGAGGTTTATTTTCTTAATGAACCCTGCCATATAACATTTTGTCAAAGGAGAAATATCATTGACCCACAGTTCCATTGCTGTACTTAGGAAGATCAGCAGAGATGGGCACATGGGATAACAGGGGTCTACATATCTTTGCAAGGACCCAGTGCAATGCCACAGTCATTTGGGGAAAGCAGATCCTTAGGGGGAAGTGCCTCTTTTCCTGAGTAGATAGATCCAGACCTGTTTTCTGGAGCCATTCTAGGAAACACTGCCAGCAGCCTCAGGCCCAAGGTTGCCATGGCAATGAATTGAAATAATATTCACAAGTAAGGCAAAATGTGCTACCGTGTGAAAATTAATGGCTAGGAATGCTTAGAAAGCCTCTTTTACTTTTGACATCCTCTGGGTAAAGGGAACGCTCATTCTTCAGAAAAGGGGCTCTGGACAGTATCTAAAGGACGCTCAGACTACAAATAGGGCCCCGTGTTATACAAGGAGCTAATTCAACTCCTAACTGAAGCCCTTCTCCATTTCAAAAAACAGATCCAGTCTTCTCCTTTAATAGAGGAAAAATTAAAGAGAGACCAACAGGGAGTAAGATGAGGCTGCTTCTCAGTGGATGTAGAACTCTAGGGACAGAAGCACTTTTTAAGCAAACTCAGGCCAAAGAACACATCAAAGGCAACTAGAGAACCACTAGGATTCACTGAAATGAGAGAATTACTTTCCCTTTCCTATTTTCCGCACCCTCTTAAGTCTGGTGCAGCTGCCTGAGTATGTTACTTTATCTTCTCTATCGGTTATATATTGCTCCTTCATTCCAATAAATCCCACTAGCCCAGCCTCTCTACTTAAAATGATTTAAATAAGTTCAGATTTCCAAATGATTGCTAAATATATAAAAAGCACCTGGTAGGAATGATCACCACTACACACCACTGTGAGGGAGCATCCACCCTACGCCAGGTGCTGTTATTATCCCATTTGATCCTCCAGCCAGCATGTGAGGTAAGTGGTATTATCATTCCCATTGGACATCTGAGGAAAATGAGGCACTGAGAAGTTAAGTAACTTTCCTAAAGGCACACAAGAAATAAGCAGCAAAACCTGGATCGATAGTGAAGCTGACCTGAGCCTGTATTCTTAGTCAGCAGGAAATGTATAGTTTTAAATTTTCTTACATTAGTTCCTTTTTTATTGATTTTTTTTTAAAAATAAATGACAGCGGAATGCATTACAATGCTTATTACACATATACAGCACAATTTTTCATATCTCTGGTTGTATATAAAGTATATTGACACCAATTTGTGTCTTCAAACATGTACTTTGGATAATGATGTCTATCACATTCCACCATCCTTCTTAACCTCTGCCCGCTCCCTTCCCCTCCCACCCCTCTGCCCTATCTAGAATTCATCTATTCCTCCCATGCTCCCCCTCCCTCCCCCACTATGAGTCAGCCTCCTTATTTCAGAGAAAACATTTGGCATTTGTTTTTTTGGAATTGGCTAACTTCTCTAGCATTATCTTCTCCAACGCCATCCATTTACCTGCAAATGCCATGATTTTATTCTCTTTTATTGCTGAGTAAAATACCATAGTTTTATTGGTGGCAGGAGACAGGAAGAATTATGTTTGCTTTTTTAAACAAAGGATGAACTTATTGGCCTAAGACTTTGTGATCCTTCTAGCGTAGATAACTGACCTTTCAGAAGTGGCAGTCCAAGTGTTTATACATCCTCCTCTCTGAGCTGTCCATAGTCTGTCATCACAGGTACAATGGAATCCCTCTGGACATACTTCTCTTAGCCATAGCTCTAGGAAGTGGAATTAAGATGACCTGGAATGTCAGGACTCAGAGAACACCACTCATATACAATCCAGCCTGAATGGCACTCCCTGGAACTGTGCCACATGGTGGGACCAGGTAGGAGGGTGACAGTTTTCACACACCACCCCCTCATCCCTGGTCTATGCTGCTGAACTCCTTCTACAGCAATAATATGAATAGGCTCACCAGACCCAGAGCTGAGATAAGGAACCAGTAGATTAGGTTGTTCTGCTCCAAAATGCCAAACTCACTACCTGTCATGCCACCCTCCTTTGTCCATGAAAATGCACAACACATCGAAAATGCAAATTCACCACACCTTAATATCTTTTAGGACCTCAGTAAGGGTTTTTAGCAGCTAGATAAGAGGGAAGGGAAATAGAATAGGAATAGAACTGTGGGTCAAGCACAAGGGTGTGGGTATAAGAATAGCAGGGAGAATATAGAGATTGCTAGTGGGGGGAAATGGGAAAAAGCCAAAGATGAATGTACCCTGCTTCTCCATTGTATGTTGCTGGAAGCCCGACTGACTGCCCGGTCATGTGTGTCTATCCTGGATGTAAACCTCCCTTCTCCTCCCACCCCTCTGCACCCCTAGAATTTCCTGGCCTTTCAGTGAAGCTTAAAACAACCTCCTGGACTCTTAATGACACAAGCAAAGCCAAAGTTCAAGACAGAAAAAGGGAACATACAGGAGAAACCTAGGAAGAGTGAAAAAAAAATCAACAGAAGAAAAGGGTAGCCTAAAAGACATATTTGAATAGAATGTAAATAGTAATTCTCCCTTTCATAAATTTTTTGTTTAGACTTTTAGTTGTAAATGGGACACAATACCTTTATTTTATTAATTTATTTTTATGTGATGCTGAGAATTGAACCCAGTGCCTCACACATGCTAGGGAAGCACTCTACCACTGAGCCACATCCCCAGCCCCCATTTATAAATATTTATTCCTACCACACTATGTTTTTTTTCTTCTGCCATAAGCCATCTGGGTGAAATACTCTGGGCTGTCGATTTAAAGTTCTCTTCTCTTAGCAGGTTTGAGACAGTTCGAGAAAGAACCCAAGAGCTCAAGACGCCGGACCACCTCAGTTGTAGAGGGCTACTTGCTCTGTTTTATATTTATGTCAATTTACAAAATTGGGTTCATTTTCTTTTGTTTTTCAATATCCCAGTAAACCAATGTATATGATCACTATATTTAATAATCACATCTAGAGATGTTCATGGTAAAAGTACTGCCTTTGCACAGGAGCCTGTTTCTAAAGAAACCCATGCTGTGAAATAGACTTTCCTACTGCTCGTGTCTGAACAGCGATACCAACCACATTGGAGTCACCAACAGGAGGTTAAGGTTGCCTGAGGAATGTGTGCAGTATCTAGGAAAAGGAACCATAGTTGTCGTTGTTGTTAATACAGAGGTCATGTTGTTTCTGCACTTTAGAATAAAGCATGGAAGAAATTATCTACATAGGCCATGGTAACTGTTTCTGAAAGTAACCCGTTTCGGATTTAAAATTCTGCAATGATGATGTCTTTTTTAAAAAAGAAGATGTACTGTTAAGGTATTACTTTTTTTTGTGCTGATTCATATCTAAATTGGATTATTATTTTAGCTGACAGTGGTACTGATTTTTTTAGGTTGGTTGCTTTTGTGGATTTCTTTGATAGTGTAGTAGCCTGACCCACATTTTAGATTACCCGATTATGTATGTATGTATATGCATACACGTATACAAACACACTAACAGTAGAGTGCTTTTCATGTGCTAGACTATTATTTTTAGTAGTATGTCTTTGTAACTAGCCAATATCACAGCTCTTTAAAAATTAAAAAACACAATATTATATTAATATTTCATATTTGCCAACAGAAACATGACAGGTAGGTATGGAAATGTTTTCAATGCCCGATGACTTATAAAAAAGAAAGTATTGAAAAGAAAGAGAGATTAGAAGTGTCAAAAGGAGTTGAAATTTTCTATAATACATAGTATTTAGTCTATAATTCAAGACAATCTTGAAGCCCAGTGTGAATTTTACAAAATCTACTGTCTGAATCAAATTCAACCTGTAACATTAAAGTTCATGGTAAGTTGGCCAACATGATAGCTAAGGTCTCTTCCTTGGCTAAGATTTAAAGACAAGGATTTCAATGACAATACTGCACAGATTGGAATTCCAGACAGAGATATAAACAAAGACCAACTTTGGCTCATGTCTGGAAGGGAAGCAGAGAAGTAAAGTGAGTAAAATCTAGCATTTAGGAGTGACACCTTCATATACTAGTACCTCCACCTTCATATACTTTGAAATATTTTTCAAGTTAAATTTTTCTACTTTATTAGTCATTGGTACTTGTCATAAGTTGATAATGTTCTAAAGTTTCAAAAATATATGTGAATTTTACTAGTATTATTTTTCCCCTGAGTCCTTATTGACTTACCATTTTTACACACACAATCCAGATACCTGATCTTATTTTAGCATGTAAGTCTTTATTCTTCATAATAGATGATGGAAGATACACCGGTATCTTGGCAAAATGTCCTAGTATAGACATATACATACAGCTTCACCAGGTTAATTTCATACCTCAGTTGACAGCCAAAATTGTCTTAGGCTCCATTCCTGCCATACTGAGAGAGCATCCCAAATAACTATGTTATAAGCCACTTCTCCAGAAAGGCTAGCCAGGGAGGGCTGGCTTGCTGAGTAAGCACTGCCTTCCAAAGCCTATCTTCCTCCTAAATCAGGAAAGGTTAGTTGGATTCCCTAGTTTTTAGCAAACCTGGACCAAAGGAAGGAAAGCCACCAATATTGCACAAGCCATCCACCCATGACAGAGTAGACACAAGTCTACAATAAAATGAACTAGAATTCCCATGAGACTCCCCTGTAGAGGATTCCCATCATTGGAGTGAAATGGTTCAACATCTCAATTAAGGCCAGTGGTGAGGGAACATTGTTTTGCTGAACTTTTGAACAAGAGCTTCTCCTGATCACTATTCTATGTATTTTCTAGAAAATCTAAAGTTGAGAAAAGAATGTACTGATCCTGACTTTTATTCCAATGTTTGGAAGGAATAAGTTTTAGGGTAGAATTTTTGTTCAGTTTAAATTTAATCTTTGGTAAAACAAATTTCTCGTTGACTTGTTTAATTACAGTTCTCTGTTATCTTTAAGAGATAAAACTGCAAGCTGACTAGCATGTTCTGTGAATCTGCCATTCTTTAAAATGTTATAAACACTTGATATTTTTCACTGATAATTGATCGCTGCAATAAAAATATATTGTGAAAATGCATCCACAATAAATGGAATTCCTCCAAATGTTTTTGCCTCACGTAATTTTATATACTATATTGATTGCAAGAGGTGTGCCTGTTAAAATAAAGATGATGGCGTGGCAAATCCTGTCTTTCACCTTGACTGTTGGTTTCACTCTTTTAAGAAAAAAAAAGCATTTTCATATTTTTTAATGCTGTGTGTGTGTGTGTGTGTGTGTGTGTTGCTGGGGATTGAACCCAGGGCCTTGCGTATGTGAGGCAAGTATTCTACCAACTAAGGTATATCTCCAGCCCCTTACATGCTTTTTATTAGAGATAATTTTCTAATAAAATATTCAATATTGTTCTAATGTGAACAACTGACCAAACATGTATGGAAAAGGTTGAAAGAGGGATTATTTATTTTTTCTTAAAAATAAATCTATCAGACTTCATCCTCCTCCTTATTCCCAGTATAGTCACATACCACTCCTCCTGATTCTAAGAGGGGCATAGAAACATACCATTCATTTAATGAATTCTTACCACTTGCAGGGCTATGGTAATTACATTGGACTCCAAATATATTTTTCCATATCAATTTTGCCTAGTAATGTAGCAGTAATTGATCCGAAATCTGAGGTTCTCACAAAAGTTCTAAATTGTGGGTCCAGAGCCTCTGAACAGTTCCCTAAATTCTATCAATAAGATTGGCAAATTAAGTTACCATAAAAACATACACTAATATTTTTATTGCCATGTCCTAACAAGAAGGATAAGTCTGGATAAGATATTTGTCATCAAGATCAATTTACAAAATTAAGCAGTGAAAGAATCAATCTGTAGTACTAGAATAAATTGATAATATTAGGGGCAAATGAAAATTAACTTTATAATATATATATCCAGGATATGACCTTAAATACATATTACTGTCGTTCCTTGTTTGATATGAAAACCAGTAGATATTGTAGGTTTTTCCTACTCTTGCTTGCACATGTGCTCCAACTAGAAGAAGAAATAAGAAAAAAGATCTCATGATCCTAAGCATATGTTCTTCCGTGGGAGTTAGAATACAAACTAACAAGGTCTGGATCCACGTATAATGTCTATTTGTGTCACATTTATTAATTATGTTGTCCAAACATTCTATGTCCTCTCTGATTTTTCCTTTGTTCTATTATTGAGAAAAGAATGTGAAAAATATCTCCCATTATGATTATGAATTTGTCTATTTCCCCATATAATCCTGTTAATTTTACTTCCTGTACTTTAAGCAAATTTAGGTACATTAAAATCTAGAATCATTATATCTTCCTAGTGGATTTAATATTTTATCATTATGAAGTGATCTCTTTGTAGCAAAGATGTTTGCCTTAAAGCTTATTTTTTATTCTGAATATTGCTACTGTATCTTTTTTTCCCCCATAGCACTTGCATCATATAAATTCGTCCATTTCCTTTCAACTTTTGTATATCCTTTAGTTTTAGATGAGTGGCTAAAAATCATGTATTTGGGGTTTGGGTTTTAATTCAATATGATCATCTTTGACTTCCTGCTAGAGTATTTCCTCCTTTCATCTTTAGTGTAATTACTGATACTTTTTCATTTAAATAGCTTCCTAGCCATGTGCCACCTGTACTGTTACTTTTCTTTCTTAATTATGCCAGGGCTGCTCCTGCTTCCGAGCACCTGCAGATCTACAACAGGCAGCTTGAGAGGCTAAGCTCTCCTTTTGGCAATGGGATTTAGCTAAAGGGGAATAAAAAATCTTCTAATTGCCAAATATGAGGGCTTTCCAGCTGATTGGGTCTCCAAAGAGCTGTTTCCTAAAAGTAAGAGTGAACTTCAAGTCATCTGGTCTTCACACAGATTTCCACCTGCCTTGATTCTGGGGAACAACTAACTATATCATTATAGCAAGGAGATAAAGGATAAAGATAAGAAAAGTTATAAAACATTGAGTAGTGATTCAAGAATTCTAAGAGATAAAATATTACAAAGCTGTAACACATGATTGTCAAAGAATATGTAGTAAATAATAATCAGCAGTCAAAGGGAGGACAGGAATACTTCAGTCTGAAGTAACTGAAGAAAAAATATTTCCTTATAGGTTTTTACATGCTCACAAAAACCCAGTGTGCCCAGTGCCAGTACACATGAACAGGCTGCATTAGTGATAAGAGGAGGTTACATGAGGAATTCAATTTATAAACTCTAATTAGATGTACTGTCGATTTTTGTAGTAAAATTCCTAGAGTTCTGAGAGGTTAATTTGTTTTATGACATTTTGTGATCCCAGATTCATCGTTCTTTTATCAACCCATCCCTGTATCTCAGCTCCACAAATAATGACTTCTTGCTTCACTCTAATGCAGTTTCAGTAGCAGAATTTTGCCAAGCCATGTTTTCAAAAAGAATGCTTCATCAAGATAAGATTTTAGAGGGCTGGGGATGTGGCTCAAGCGGTAGCACACTCGCCTGGCATGCGTGCGGCCTGGGTTCGATCCTCAGCACCACATACAAACAAAGATGTTGTGTCCACCGAAAACTAAAAAATAAATATTAAAAAAAATTCTCTCTCTCTCTCTGTCTCTCACCTCTCTCTTTAAAAAAAAAAAAAAAAAGATAAGATGTTAGAAGTTTCAACTGGTCATTTCTACCCAGATAGGAACCTTCACAGAATATTCTAGGATTTTGCAAAAGGACTACAATCATATAGAACACAAGATTAGTGTAATTGGTTTCCAACCTGATTCAGCACTCTTCTATATAAAACCTGCCATCTTTTGTCTTGTGCCTGTCAACATTTGTAACATAGGTGCTTGGAGTTTTTGTCAAATGTTGGAAATCAGTTGTCCTGAGTTCAGCAGGGCTTCTGCATCCTTGGTGAACATCGGCATCAATAATGGGCCTTTTTAGTTATATAGGTTCCACTCCCAGCAGATTCTTAGTAGATTTAGAGTTGAATTGTCAACTCTTTGCTACCCAAAGAAAAATAGTAGGTTTGGGTGAGGCCTGAGGTTTTGCATTTCTAATGGGTTTCCAGATGATGCTGCAGTGGTGGCTGCTGCTTTGGAGACTACATTTTAAGAAGCAAGTTCTGTCTCTCAGCCTGCGCTCTTTCTAAGAATGTATGCTTAAAAGATTCCCACTGAAAACAATAGAATGAGAGCACTTAAAATGACTTAACACTTTATGTATGTTAACAACATAATCCTCATAACAACACTATCATGTAGGTGTCATTATATCCTCATTTTACAAGGAAACCAAGGCACAGAGATGTTAAATAACCTGCCAAAAGTCACAAAGCTAAATATTCTGGTTCCCCAGTAAACACCTTTAATTCTCTGTTTCAGTAGTTCTCAAAACTTAGGGTGCATCAAAATCACCTGGGGAACTTGTTAAAACATCCATTGTTCCACCCCAAAGTTTCTGATTCCATAGGTCTGGGAATGGGCTTTAGAATTTGCATCCTAACAAATTTTCACATGATGCTAACTAAGGCTGCTCGTCTCAGAGAACACACTTTGGAAACCACTACAGATGCCATGAGGAAATTGGTGGCTCTGACCATCCCTTTCACATGTTATGAATAAATTTGTAGGACTGATAGGACTGTAAATTGGTGCAATCACTATGGAAAGCAGTATGGAGATTCCTCAGAAAACTTGGAATGGAAGCACCATTTGATCCAGTCATCCCACTCCTCAGTTTATACCTAAAACAGTTAAAATCAGCATACCACATTGACACAGCCACATCAATTATAAATAGCTCGATTATTATAAATAGCTCAATTCATAATAGCTAAACTATGGAACCAACCTAGATGCCCTTCAACAAATTAATAAATAAAGAATTGGTATATATACATGATGGAATATTACTGAGCCATAAAGAAGAATGAAATTATGGCATTTGCCAGTAAATAGATGGAACCGGAGAATATTACACCAAGCAAAATAAGCCAGTCCCAAAGAACCAAAGGCTGAATGTTTTCTCTTATATTCACATGCTAATTCACAATAAAACAGGGGGAGAAGAGGTAATTTGGACTAGACAGAGGGGAGGAGAAGGGGCCTGGGGGTAAGAATGATAGTAGTAGAATGAATCAGACATTATTATCCTATGTGTGTGTGTTACATGACCTGTGTAACTCTACATCATGTACAACCAGAAGAATAAGAAGTTATACCCCATTTGTGTATGATGTGTCAAAATGCTTCTACTGTCATGTATAACTGATCAGAGCAAATTAAAAAACATATAATAAAAACAAATAAATAAATAAAAAGGGCTGGGGATATGGATGGCTAGTGGTAGAGTGCCCTGGTTCAATCTCTGGTACAGGGAGGGAAAAAAAAAAAAAGAGGGTCAGTCTCCTCCACTCCCCACTGCACAATAAGGAAGATTATTCTGAAGTAAATTCCAGGCATAATTTCATAATCACCTCTGCTGTGCGACCAGCATGCTAGCTTCATACTAGAGGTTCTAAACATAGAAGTTAACTAGTGAGATCAAAATAAAGACACATGGGGGCTGGGGGCCATTGCTCAGTGGTAGAGCACCTGCCTTGCATGTGTGAGGCAGTGGGTTCAATCCTCAGCACCACATAAAAATAAATAAAGATATTGTGTCCAACTACAACTAAAAAAAATATTTTAAAATAAATAAATAAATAAAGACACATAAACTTAATTTACCTTTTTCTTGCCCAGCTAAGAGACGGCCTTTCCTGACTCCTGCCTCGAGCCACCTGATGTAGTGGTGAGGTTTACACAAGAGACCAGCAGGAGAGAGGAAGAGCATGCCGGAGAGTGGGCTTTTATAGGGGAACAAGAAATGCAGGGGAAAATTCCATCCAATGAAGGTCGAGGGGGACAGCATTCCAAGGTCAGGGTCAATGGTCAGTCACACCCCCACACGGACAGGCTCTTGCACCTAAAAAGGGTGGGGATAAGCTCTGACACAGCTGGATGGAGCGCCTCACACCCAGTCAGGGAGGTACCCAATCACGTGTGAGAACGGCTTCCCACAATCACCTAGTGTTTTTCTATCTAAGCCCATCAAAACTCTCTTTTTTTACTTGTTAAATTTTAGTAAGCTACTTTTCAAACTAAAATATATAATCATTACCCCTTACTATCAAAAGCCAGATATTAAAAATTTTGTGTGCATCAGGTTGGGAAGGTAGAGTTGTGCTTAGCATGCTTAATGCCCTGGCTTCAATCCCCAAGACCAACAAAAGAAAAATAGGAAAAGGACTTTACTTGCATTTATCTCATTTAATCTCTGCAACAGTTTTATTGGGAAAATAAAATTATAGCTACTTATGTCAGAGATGGTCTGTCTCCACTGTTGTGGTTTGGATATGAGGTATCCCCCAAAAACTCACATGTGAGACAATGCAGGAAGTTTCAGAGGAGAAATGATTGGATTTTGAGAGTCTTAACGGATCAGTGAATTAATCCCTGATAGGATTAACTGGGTGGTAACTAGAGGCAAGTGGGGTGTGGCTGGAGGAAGTGGTTAATTGGGGCGCGTGGCTATAGGATGTATATTTTGCATCTGGAGCTGGAGTCTCTCTCTCTGCTTCTTGATCACAGTGATGTGAGGTGCTTTCCTCGGCCACCCTCTCCCACCATGATGTTCAGCCTCACCTGGAGCCCCAAGGAACGGAGCCAGCCTTCTCTGGACTAAGACCTCTAAAACCGTGAGCCCTCCAATAAACTCTTCCTCCCCTACAGTTGTGCTGGTCAGATCCTTTAATCACAGCAGCAAAAAAGCTGTCTAAAACACCCCACTTTACGGTAACTAAATGGAAGCATAAAGAACTTCAAAAACTTCCCTGTACTCATACAACCGTTTAGTGGTAGAATATTTGACCCCCAGCTGTCAGCTACTGAGCTCCTGCTCTTAAGGACCCTGTCCCCTACCCCCCTTTATCTCCCCACTGGTCTGTCACAAGGGATCATTGCCTAGGGGCAAGCCTTGAAGACAGTGTCAAGTCAGAGCCACTGCTTTCCTGGTGAAGCTAACAGATAGGACAGGATGTGAGTCCAACCATGCAGCCAGTAACTTGGCCAATTAAGGATACCTCGCCCCTTGGGCTCCCCAGCCTATCCTCATCCTAACACAGTGAAGAGCTAGAAACTAGAAGGAAGACAGGATAGATGGAAACAGCAAAGCACCAACCTCCCTCCCATTTCCTGAGCCACCAGAGCAGGGACACACCTAGGCTGCTCTGAGAAGTTGGGAGAAGGGGAACTTTGAATTAAGTTTGAAACTGGAAGTTCAAAACGAACTAAATACTGACTCTAAATACAAAATACCAGAATAAAATTGTTTTAGGAGTTGAAAGAGGCTGAAACATTATTAAATTTGGCCAACATATCCTTGGTAGAAAAAATATCACCACTGCACATTTCAGGGACAGTTACTGAGGAGGGAAGACCTTTTTTTTTTTTTTTTTTTTTTTTGCCATGAGATTTCATACTGAGCCTGAGAACCATTTGTTCTCTTTTGAATTAATTTAGCCTGATGTTTGTTGAGCAGGTAGGGGACATTCCAAGTGCTAGGGGGAATTGCTGCTTCTTTGTAGTCTCCAAATAAAATGAATTCTATTAATGATAGAGAGATTAGGAAAAGTGTCTTTATGGGAATTACTCTTGAACTGAGTTTTGGTTAGTTGCTGGCTATATTTGAACTTGGAGACAGTTTGAGAGGTTTGGCCTAATACTGTCATCCAACACCCAGATGGTCTGAGGAAGATCCAGAATGGTACCGGACTACTCCTGGGTTCCCAAGCCCTAGTATGACTTCATCAACCAAATTGTGGTAAGACCTCAAGGGCCCCATGACCACTAACTTCTATGATGTCATAAATAACTAATTGCCCTTTAGGACTTTATTCTAGTTGAAGTCTGTTCAATAAACTCAAATTGATATAATTACACAAAGTATATTCCCAACATAACTTATATTTGAACATATTGCTAAGATGAATTCTCCTGATTCCCACACCAGTGATTAGGCCTTTGGGGTATGGTTTTGGTTGTCTGCTCCTTTGTTTTCTTATTCCACTTTTTTAAAAAAAATATTGCCTTTTAGATTGCAGTCTTGTAGTAGTCTCACCAAAAAAGCAGAAGAGGGAAAGCTGCTGCAGAAGTAAATCTGCCTTCCAAAAAGGCAGATGAGGCTATACAAGGAGTCTGACCAGTAACTTTCTCAGATCACAGGGAACTAGAAGGAAAACTCAGACTGATAGAAACTCCTTGGTGGAAGTTGACTCTAGTCCACCTTAACTTATAAGGAAAAAAATCATTTCTTTAAAGTGATACCAACTCCAGCTAAGCTTTGGCTGAACTGTACTACCCTGTGTAATTCACAACACTTCTCTCCCATTAGAATGCATCCCTGGGGAGAATGCTTTGTTCCCTGCAGTAGCCTTACATTGGGCACAGTCCCTGACATGCAGGGAGCATTCAATAAAGATTTGTGGAATTCATGAAATATGAAGGTGTATGATTTTCAAAGTTTTGTTGAATTCCTAAGCATTTTTATTATGCACTAAGATAATTTTCCTTTATAAGGATTACTTGACATATTTGGACCTACAAATATTTGAACTCAAAATAATGAGACTTGAATTCTAGCTTTGCCATTTATTTCTTGTATAACCTGATTAGATCTTTCCCAGGAGCTTTATCTTGTGCATCCAACATCCTATACCTTGTAACCATTAGTAAAATCCAACAGAAGAAACACTTAAAGGTTGTTTTAATCCGTTCTCTGTTGCCACTAGCACAATACCAGACTGGGTACATTGAAAGCAAACAGGTTTATTTGGGGTCCTGGTTCTGTAGGCACAAGGTCAAAGGACCACATCTGGTGATGGTCTTCTTGCTGACAACATCCTGAGGGGATATGCGGCATCACATATGTGTGTGTGTGTGTGTGTGTGTGCGCGTACACACACACACACTTCTGTACTGGTTCTCACCCCTCTCCTTACAAAGCCACTAGTGTTCAATCATGGAGATTCCACCCAGATAACTATCTAATCCTAATCACCTTCCAAAGGCCCCTCCTCTAAACATCATAGATTGTTTTTACCCTCTTAAAACTTCACAACAGAGATTAAATTACAATATATGGAGCTTTTCAGGACACATTCAAACTATATCCATAGCAAAGATTCTCTGTGCAAGTCACCTTCAGTGACCATGGCATAAAATTAGGTATGATGAAGACTTATTTTCAAAAGAGCTTATCTATTTTCTCAAGCCTGGGCCTAATGTGGAACGTTCAAATTTCTAAGTTGCTTATCTAAAAAAACCTTACTTTCAAAAACTTACAAAATCTATAATGTTAGCCTATGTCCATGCTTAAACCATAGTGCTTTGCTTTTATTCTACTTTCAAACTGCTATAATCCATTATGGCCATTAAGACTCCAAATATCTGTAATTCTTTTATTTTTTTAAGCTATACTTGGAAAACTGTTCCGAATACATTTAAATTATCCACTGGAGCTAAAGATAAGGGGAAAATCAAAATGATATGTACACAAATAATATTAAGCCTGTTATGGAAAGGTCATATGTAATTAGTTGAGATAATACACACAGAGTGATTTGCCATGCCCCAGAAGACAGTAAATTTGTTAGCTAATGATTATTATATTTAAAGAATATCAAAGCTAATAAGAATTTTGAGAGTTCATCCTAATATGTTCATGACTCCTCCAAATCAACCCTTATGGAGAAAATTTTCATTTTTCAGAATAAAATTGTGCAGAATGGAACTCACCGTGCATACAAAGACCAACATTCGATTTAGTCTTCTAACAACTCCAAGTAGTAGTTGCAATTATTGCATCTATTCAAAGGATGAGAAAGTTTAGTCCAGAAAAATCAACTTGTCCACGGTCATGCTGTTAAGATCAGATGAGCTCCAAAATACAAATCTTAACAAGTATGCTTTACCGCCTTCTCTGAGTAAAGGCCTGACAACCAGTTGGCATGCAGAACAGGAGGGACTAAAACCTTCCTAAATGCTCCCACAGATCCCAACGTCCTAACCTACCCCCAACTTCTCTGGCCGCCCAGCAACTTTGTCCTGAGGCCCCATCAAACCCCGCGGCTCCATCTCTCGGCTAAAGCCCGGGCGCAGCTCACCGCTGATGCGCTGGTTGCTAAGTGATTCCGCGGGATGCACGTGGTCTCGCGAGAGCGGGCCGTTGCCTAGGTAACGAGTGGCCTGGGAGTGCTTGAGGCTGCTAAAAGACAGTGGAGCTCCTGCTAGCTCTAGACCCGGGTGCTTTAAGGAGTTCTCGAAATAGTCTCCCAGCACGAGTAGGACGAAAGATCTGGGAGTGAGGGGCCGCCCGAGGCGGGACGAAGTGCAGAGAAGGAAGGAAGGTTGGAGGCGGACGCCCCTGCGGAAGCACGGACGGAAAATGAGTTCCCCCGCGCTGTGCAGCGTCCTGCGGGAGTGAGCTGGGGAGACTGCCACCCTGTAGACTGCCACCCTGTATTGTGGCGGACTTGGGCCCGCAGGCTCCTGCTGCACACGTGGGAGCGCCCCTTACACCTCTGCTGGGGCTTTGCTGACGCCAAGGTTTTACCCCACTGCGGGTCAGCACGTGGTGAGCCTCCTTTGCACGTGTAAGGAAACGGACTCAGAGGTGGCCTGTCCGGTTTTGTAAATTGGCAGTCTCGACACTAGAGGAGTCGCCGATGCGCAATTTTCTCAATTGCATTTGTAGTTCTTTGCGATGGACCTTGGACCTTATTCTGGGCAGCCCACGTTCCAGAGCACGCTGTTTGTAGAGAGGAGCAAAAGCCAATAGATTTGAAATTGGTAAATTCCTCTCCCAATCTATAGAATCTTGGCAAGGAATTTCGATTATTTCATTGTCTTAATGATAACTACGTGGGAGAATACTTGGACAGGCACATAATGGTCGTCATCAATACAACCTTCTGGTAGCTATTGAGGTTTCAGTAATAATATAATTGAATATTAGAACAGTGACGGTATCTACAGAATAGTATTAAATTATAAAAAGAAAAGTATTGTCATTTGAACTTGAATTTTCACTTGAACTGAAAATTAAGGAGGAAAAAACCTTTTAAAACTGTATTGCTCCATATCACTGCCTGAAGAAGCAACTGTAATTTTTATGTATTTTAATGCCTCCACGGTCATTCTGAACCTATTTTCACTATGTAACATTTAATTGTAAATATAGAATGTTAATGAATTTCCTGTGTACTCTGGATTTTTTAAATTAAATTATTAACCTGATTTGTCTTTTATTGTGATTTTTGTGTTTCTCATAGTAATAGAAAGTTTCTTCAAATCTTTGAAGTTAAAGGCTTAATTAGCATCTTGTCACTGTTAACTAAATACAATTGAATGCATTTTTAGTACTTATTTAATGTAAAAAAAAAAAACCTTCAGCTTAAAAAAAATCTGTCAAATAAGTTTCTTAGAAATTGTTTTATAGCCTATCCACGTAATAAATTTCAAGCCTAACACTGGAAGAGATGTCAGAAGATTCAGAAAAGGAGGACTATTCAGACAGAACAGTCAGTGATGAAGATGAATTAGTATGTTTTTCTCAAATTTTATTTTACTTAATTTGAGATAAAATGTTACAAAATATATATTCCCAATTAAAATATTACAAAATCAATTGTATGTTTAAATCATTGTCATGGAAGATGGGACATAATTCAATAGAAAAAGTAAGCTATTACTCTGTGCAGTATGCCCTATTTAGAAAGCAAAACTATATGTCTTCTTAAGAAAATAATTGTGATTATTATCCTGGGTTTTGTTATCTATTAAATCATTGGGTTTTATTTTTGTAATTCTTTTTCCACTTATTTCCTTTTGTGTACTAATTCTGTAGTGTTACATCATAGAATATGGTGCTAGAACCCCGATAGGTTTAATGTGTCTATGATATCACAAAAGAAAGAATATGGAAGAAGGAAATGGGAGAGAAATGTAGTGTTTAAAAACATTTTGTCTGATCCTTGTACACATTTCTGAGATATTCCTTTTAACTTTTATTATAGTAAAAAATTATGTAAAAGTAAGCTCCCCCAAATAAAGTATAACCTCTTAGTCTATGGTTTTCTGTTTCTTTTTATTGTTGTTAATCTTAATTTAAATTGTGTTTCCAAGTTTACCAAGTACCTTTGAACTTCAGCCTTTATTCTTTCCCTGTGGTTATTGTTGCCATTCCCAGGGGAAGAGGAGGAATAAAGATGCAAACTTTATATTTCCAGGGTATTTGAGATACTGCTTTGAGACCAGTAACCCATAATAAATCTTTAATTTCCTTATTATTAAACATTAAAGGCATGTACTCAATCCCAGGGACTAAGATAGATGTAAAAAAAATTCTGGATTTAGAAATTTTTTTTTAATTTAAAAATTCTCTTGTTTTAGGATGAAGAAACATTTATGAAATTTGTAAGTGAAGATATTCATCAGTGTACACTATTAACAGGTTTGAACTTATCCATATATTTTTCCTCCCTTTTATCATAAGACATTGAGTAGATAAAAAGTGAAGAAACTATGAAAGTCAGATTGGGTAAAATAGAGAATTTTTATTCTGGTGAGTAGGAGACAGAAATGAGAACTGTTGTATACACTTTTATAAGCATCTTTTGGAGATTAAGCTTTTGGGGATCATTTTAGGTAAACCTGGTTTATATTAGAAAATAGTAAAAGAAATTAAATGAAAGCCATGATTCGTTTATAAAGGACTTAAGATTTGCCGTTTTGTTCCAATTTGGGTGAAACCTATTGTTAAAAGATAAAATTTGCCACATTAAATTTTTAAAAAGAGTTCATTTGAACAAACAGCAATTCACAAAAAAATCAGGCAGCTGAACACTGGAAGTGGTTTGGGGCTCCACCTAAGGGGTGTGAGGGGAAGGCTTTCACAGGGTGAATGCAGAAGCAAGGCAAAGAAAACACTTGATTGGTTAGAGTGGAGAGGGAGCCTTATTTGGGTCATTTCACTGGCAAGTTCCTAGTTAGAGACTAGTTGTCAGTTTCTGTAGTATCATTAAGGAAGGAAATGGCTTAAGGGGAGCTTCTCAGCAAATCGATGCCACACAGAGACAGGGCCACTTCACTGCCTGCTAGGAGTGGCCCCACTGTGTTCAGGGGGCTTGCCACATGGGGACCCTAGAATGAAAACTGCGGGGGGGGGGGATTGTGACTGAGAGATCACTAGCAACCTTTGAGAACATAATTGCAGGAAGCAGTGAGGAGTTGTAGTCCCACAATGTATTTAACCCATGGACAAGGAGTGTGATAAGTGGTTGATTAAGTGCTAGGAGAACTGCAAGAACCAGATGTATGGAGAGTAGTGGCGAGAATAAATTGATAGCATACAAATTGACAATATTTTTTTGGCCTCTGTGAAGATCAGTTGTCACAAAATTTCATTAGTGCTTTTATTTAAAAATGTCATAATTGTTAGTACTAATGATATCCACAAATATTCATAAATTGAATAGTGTTGGAAAGAAAAAAGGAACTATGTAAAACATCGTAAGAATTGGTGTTTTCCTTCTTGTCACTCCTGGTTGTGTTTGAATCTTTTTCTCAGCCAATTCTTTTGGTGACCCATTCTTCCCTCGGACCACACAAATACTCTTGGAATATCAGCTGGGGAGATGGGTGCCACGCCTTCGTGAACCAAGGGATTTATATGGTGTCTCTTCTTCTGGCCCCCTGAGCCCAACACGGTGGCCTTACCACTGTGAGGTCATTGATGAAAAAGTCCAGCATATTGGTATGTTTTTAGCAGCCTGGGGGATTCAGACATTAGCAAGCCTACTTCATCAGCCTTGATTAAAATCATTAAAATGTGACAATGTTGGAACAGTGCATTCCAACAGAAATGTAATATGAGCCCTAGATGTAATTTTAAACTTTCTAGTTGCTATGTTTATAAGGGTAAAAAAGTAAAATTAATTTTTAAAATACATTATACTTAGCCTAAATATATCCAAAATATTTCACTTTCCTTCTTTTTATACAAAGACTTCCAAATCTGGTGTGCATTTATACTTACAGACATCTCAGTTCGGTTTAGTCACATTTCAAGTGTTTCACACCACATGTGCTTAAATAGAGGGGCTTAAAATATGTGCCACAGCTTTAGTCATTCTAAACAATTCCAAACAGCATGACTGTCTCATCACAGCCAGCTCCCAGGGAGTCCACCAGAATGGCTGGGAGCTACAGTCCCGCTCCTTTTTGTTCCCTTTCTCTTTCCCCCTCTGGATGTCCTTTCTTCTTAGTTTATCTTCTTTTGCCTCTTCCTGTCTTTTTACCTTTCCCCATTTCTGTTCCTCTTTCATTTTCTATTTTGTTGTTCCCCTTTGTCTCTTTTTCTTTCCTTTCCTACTTTCTTCTCTCCTTTAGTGGATGTTTATGGAACTGAAGAGTACATACTTCAGGGTGAATTTGTGTTCCTGTAGTATGTGTTCCCAAATTGATTTTTCACTCTTAGAAAGAGCCAGAACCTTATGTCCCATAACCACAGAGAGATGTGAAAAACATCTTGGAAAAGGGACAGATCCTTTGTCCCCAATCCACAGAGGTGTGATCGGAACATTCCCATTGTTCTGCGCCTTCCCACTGCCGCTGTGTTTCTCCTTTCGTTGTCTATTGCATGCTCATAAGCTCATTCATTGGTGTATAAAATTTAAAACTGCTTTTGGTGCCTACTTAAATTTTTTTAGGAGTCCTTAAAAACTAGTTTTCCCCTTTTATTTTCTGGTTGGTAGGTAGGTGGATGGATGGATGGGTAGATAGATGGATAGATGGAAAAAGGGACAAAGAAGGAAAAAGAACAATAATTTTTGTTCAGAGAGGACAAAGTTAATTTCTAAGAATTCCAAAAGATAAAAATATATTAAAGAATTTGTGCTTGTTAGTACTTACATGCATCACTTATTTACAGTGATCTTGTAGCTAGCTGTAGGTGGGTATATATTTCCTCTTCTGGAGTGTGAACATTGCTCTCTTTTTCTCCTTTCAGCCCCATTATTCCCACCCCTCCTCCAATAGCCCCTTCTTCCTTTTTGCTCCCGAACCAGGGAGATAAATTCTTAAAAACCCAGCAGAGAAAATGCTGCCGTGCCACTTTGGACCTTCCCACAAGCCCTTCTTTTTACACCTCACTTTTATCTCACAGCCTCCACATTACATATCTGTGGCAGTAGAAATGAAAAAGGATCAGGAAAAGAAAATCCCTCCTGCTTCTAGTGTGACTTCTGTCTAATTTCTCTTCTGTAGCTGTGACGAGAAAACAAAAGCAGAAGAGACCCAACAGGAAAAGAGAAGCAAGACCCCATCATGCCATGTTCCAAGCATCCCCAGCCCCTGTGCCCATTCCACTCAGTTGTTTTCTCCCCATCTAACTACGAGCTCCACTTTGGCATCCTCAGCGCACCCGTCTGTCCCTTACATTTCCTGGCCCTCATTTTCAGCCTTCATTTTGCCCACAGTTAGGAGAGTCACTATCTGTGGTTCAGGACAAAGAAAGTGTCTACTCTCCTGGTACGTAAGAGATTGCCACTCCTTCAAATTAGAGCAGTCTAATTTCTGGCCTCTTCTGTTAATCCCAAATACATTTCCTTACCAAAATATTATTTTAAGAGTGATCGATTCTATGGTGCTGTATTTTGGATATCTTAGACTCTGGGCTCTAGGAGCCCAGTCTTCACCCTGAGTGAAGGCGTAGTACTACACAGGCAGGTGCTGGTACAGCCTCTCACACCATCAGTTTCCCAAGATCCTCAGAGGCAGGTTTGAGGTCACAGATACTGGTGATAGTGTCTATGTAAGACAGAGTCAAGCTTCACTTGGAGCTGTGCCACTGTTCTTGGTTTTGTTTTCGTTTTTTAATAGACAACATTTTAAAATTTATTCCAAATATTTTTGTGGGTACATTACAGTCATACATAATGGTGGGATTCATTGTACCCATCAGTACATGCACACAGTATAACAATGTAATTTGGCCAGTGTCATCCCCAGCACTTCCCTACTCCTCCCCCTCCTCCCCCACCCTGGTCCCTTTCTTTCCTCTGTTCTCTGATCTCCCTTTGCTTTTCATGAGATCCCTCCCACCTTGAGTTTTTCCTCTCTAGCTTCCACATATGAGAGAAAACACAACCCTTGACCTTCTGGGTTTGTGTGACGCTGCTCTTTCCTCACAGTGTGTGTCCTGAAATATTTGCAAGATCCACTGGTTCTCAAGCCAGCTGCAACAGCCACTGCATCCTCATCTAGGAGGAATCAGAATTTGCTCCTGGGTGCCCTTCACAGCTTTCTCCACTTGACTTGCTACCATTTCAGAAAGTACATTCCCCACAGTCCTGCCTATTACTTTGGACCTTGCTATTTTCATTTCACTTCTGTGAAGATTTCACAAATTTGGATATTTGAAAGGACAACAGAGGACTCTACATAGAGTTCCACTCAAATATACCTTTTATTTAAAGGTAGAGGATATGGTGCAGCAAGATAAGAGGCTTCTGGCAAATGTTGGGGTCCAAAGGATAGCCTGAGGCATGCTCCACAGGGTCATTACACACACACACACACACACTCACACACACACTCACACACACTCACACTGACTTGTAAACTGAAATAGCAGCATCTTTGTGATAAGATCTCAAAGCAAAAGTTCCCAGCTGGGTTTTTGTGCGTCTGTAATCATGTCATCAAGCCAAGCTGTCTAACTAGTTCTGCCAAATGAAAACCATCAGTAAGCAAACTTGCTGTGTAGGATTACCAGAGGAGTTGCAACTTGAAACAGCTTGTCATGAATCTTACTGTCCTTATCTTGGCCAAAAGTTAAAGCTAGACATCCAGACTTCCCCAGGGATAAAAATGGATCTTTTCCAGCCCAGCTACAAATTAATGTCCTACACAGTCACCCTTCTTGACAGTCTTTTCCTATCAGTTAATATATACTAGTCTCTCTTTTATAATTGGTATGTTAGATTTCATTAAATTCATCTAATCATAATTTCTTTAACTGGTACCTTATTAATCAATTTTAGATGTTTTCAGTCTTTGGCAATTAAACCACAGGAACATCATTTTATGTGTGTCCTAATGCAGACATATAAAAATGCATTTTGTGAGTGAATTTCTGATCAAAGGATACTGTCTTAAAGTATGTGCCCTGTTGTCTTCCAGTATTTTCATATTTCTTTTGAGCTGATTTCTATATGTGGTAAGAGACAAGGATCTAGTCTCATACTTCGCCATATATATGTTGAGTTTCCCAAGCACCTTTTATTGAAGAAATTTTTCTTTCTCCAGTGTATGTTCTCAGTACCTTTAACAACATTCAGTTGACTATAAATAGGTAGGTTAATTTCTGGATTTTCTAATCTCTTCCATTGGTCCCTGTTTTTATTCGTGTTATACGATTTTGATTATTGTCACTTCGTAGCATGTTTTGAAGTATTGTGATGTCTCCAGCTTTCTTCTTTTCACTAAGGATTGCTTCAGCTTTTAGGGTTCTTTTGTGGTTCTACATGAATTTTGTGATTTTTTTCCTAGTTCTCTAAAGAATGACATTGGTATTTTGATGGAGATTGCATTGAATCTGTAGATCACTTTGGGAAACAGGGACATTTTAACAATATTCTTATCAATGAGTATGGGTTGTCTTTATTTTATATGTCCTCTCTAATTTCTTATATCAATGTTTGATAATTTCGTAGAGATCTTTTACTTTCTTAAACTTATTTCTAGATAATTAAATTTTTTGCAAAAAAGCTTTTGAATGGGATGCTTTCTTGATTTTTAAAAACACTATTTTTTTCTATATTGATCTTGTTTCCTGCAGCATTACTAAATTTCTTTATCGGTTCCAACAGTTTTTTGGTGGTCCTTAGGGTTTTCTATATATAAGATCATGTCATCGGCAAACAGAGAGATCATTTAACTTCCTCCTTTCCACTTTAGATACCCCTTCCTTCCTACCTGCCTTCCTTTCTTTCTCTTTTTCCTCTTCCCTAACTAAGACTTCCAGCATAGTGTTAATGGGAGTGCAAACATTGGCATACTTGCTTTGTTCCAAATTTTAGCGAGGCTTTCAGCTTTCCCCTATTTAGCATAATGTTGCCTGTGAGTTTGTCATGTGTCCTCTGTCCTGTCGAAGTGTGTGCCTAGTGAGAGTTTTTATCATGAAGGGATATTGAAATTTATCAAACGGATTTTCTATGTCTATTGAGGTGATCACGTGGTCTTTGTCCTCCAGACTTACTGATGAGCTGAATTATGTTTATTGATTTGCATATATCGAACCACTCTTATATCTCTGGAATAAATCTCATTTGAACATGGTATTGGATTCATTTTCTCTAATATTTTGTTGAGGCTTTCTGCATCTGTGCTTATCAGCGATATATTGGTCTCTAGTTTTTGTTGTTGTCATGGTGTTTTTGACTGGTTTTAGTGTCAGGATAGTGCTGGCCTTATAGAAGGAGTTTGTTGAGGTTTCCTCCTTTTTGGTTTTTTTGAAGTAGGTTGAGAAGAATTGGTATTAGTTCTTCTTTAAATGTTTTATAGAATTTGACAGTAAAGCCATGATGAGGGTCCTGACTTTTCTTCTTGGGAGACGTTTTTTTTTTTTCCTTTCCACTGACTTATTCTCATAGCTCATTATTGGTTAATTCAGGTTTTCTATATATTCAAGTTGTAATTTTAGTTTGCTATATTTCCAGAAAATTTTCCGTTTCCTCTAGGTTTTCCATGTTG